GATTTCAACCAGACTGAAACATCCGAAGAATACATCCTTAACATGGAGGGCTTAAAACTTTTATTAAATTTTCAGATAGGATTTGGTTTTGAAGTTTGGCTGTACTTGTTAAATTGTTATTACAAACTGGATATCTCATCATATTTATTATGGTAATGTTTTTTTATAAAGCTCCTACATGTAAACACCGAAATAAGATCTCTGAATGTTGTTTTTATCGGTTCTAGATTTTGTGTTTTATAAATTAAAACATGACTAGATATTTAGTGCTTTACAGTTATGAAAACTTATGGTCACATCTTGTCGATATTATGTACCTATATTGTGCATTGTACAATGTCATGCCTTTTCAAACTGTTTATGACGTCGTAGCATTAAATCTGTTTTATTTATTAGTTATTATTGGCTTTAAACAAGTTTTCAGTAACTGCGAGTACGGTGACCTATAGTTGCTTGCATCCACGTTATTTCGTGGATAGTTGTCCCAACGGCGATCATATCACATCTCCTTATTTCATATAGCGACAGCAGATAGAAAATATATTTTTATCGTTGTCTTTTTTCGCGACATTAATTGTTATAATACTGATTATTGTTCATCACATCATTATACGAATTAGATTTCTAAGAAATCTTTCCAAGGTGGTTCTGATTATATAAATCTTTTTAATAACATTGTTTATCTTTCAATTCCGGTGTAGTTAGCTCGTAGACAAATGAATTGTTTTATTTACTCTTACTTTCAATCCCCAATAGATTGTTATGTTACAATGTGTAATAACTAATATAAATTGGACATCGAGGTCTTAACATCTACGTTGACCGTGTCATCATTTTTTGTCTATCCCATAGCAAACCTGAAGATTACAGACACTTATAACAATGATAAATGGAAAGATAACGATGTATATTCTGACTGTCTGCTTCAATTTAAACCGAATTAGTATTTGATTGATCTCCCTAGAGATCAACACTGATTCCCTGTATAGTCACGGATTTTACAGCTCGTCAGATATACTATACATTTTAGTATTGATGCTTGTAAGAGTAGTTAAAGAACACTCGCTCAATTTATATAGTACGATATAATAATAATGGGGACATCTTAAGTTTAAATATATTTTCAAGATGTTATTGCTGACTCAAAACGAGTTTGCCTGCATAAAGAAACTTCCAAATACAAATAACTAATTTTATTCATCAAATGTGTGTCAAAAGGGCAAACAACTTTGAATATAACCATAACAAAACTTCTTTTAGGCTAAATGGAAAAAAAAAAAAAAAAAAAAAAAAAAAAAACAAATACCATAGCAGGAAGTTAGATTATGATGTATTTTGATGTGAAATTTACAACACCAAAAATTAATAGAATTATTATTTTGTTTTATAAGAATAACTGAAGGACAACAATAAAAGCAAACGTTCAATGCGATTATTTCAGATTTGCTTGCCAAAATAAAAAATGTCTAATGTAATACTCAAATCAGAGCTAATTTTACCTTGAAATATGACAAAGAAACTAACCTGTCATTGTCTTATATGTTGGTTTGTTTGTTTATGTACTTTTAAAATCTTTTTGTTGTTGGGTTACTGACTCATTGACGAATACCCAGTACATTCTTTCATTCACGGGATGACAATTTAAAATATAAACATGGCTTTTCAAATAACCTTAGGCTAAGTTTGTCCTATGTTCTATGTTCAATTGGAAAGTAATGTTGTTGGTTTTTATGAATTGTATATGATTTTCGCTGACGTAAACAAACAATTTTCTGTGCATGCATGTAAATTCTGGTAATGTGATTTTCAATCTCACGTTCATTTTTGTTTTAGATTCACACTGTTTATTTCAGATTGAAGCTTAGACATTCCATGTTATTCTTCTTTATATCAATACAAATATATTTTTTTCTATTCATTACAAGATATTAAGCAAAAATATCGAAAATTAAGATTTATTTTAAATCTATCAAAGGAGTATAGAAACGAATAACAATAATAATGAAACAAACAAATCTTGCTTAAGAATCATGTAAGACAAGATTTATTTTAAGTTTTTATTGGCCTGATGTAGCTATCATTTATTGCAAGTTCTAATATATCGGTGCTATGTGTCATTTTTCTCAGTTGTTTTTGTGGTTTGTGTCAATCTGATGAGTAGAAACTTTTTAAAATGATTTTAACAGTTTTTCGTTTGTATTGCCGTTGTCCATTGTCCTAGGTAAGGGGATCATTGAGTTTAACACCGCCATATACTTTATGTGCTTGTCACAAGTCAGGAGCCTGTAGGTCAGTGGCTGTAGTTGGTTGATATCTGTCATATTTGTTTTTCGTTTATTGTATTGTCATAACTAAGGTCGTTGGTTTTCTGTTTTGATTTGTTTTACATTTAATCATGTTAACGCCTTTTATTTCTGACTATACGATATGGATTTAACTCATTGTTGAAGGCCGTACGGTGACCTATTGATGTCTACATCTACGTCATGTGGTTTCTGATGGATAGTTGAATCATTGGCAATCAAACCAAATCTTCTTATTTTGATAAGCATCTTACCGATACTACACGAAGCATACTTTTATCAATGTTATTGTTTAAAAGTGCTAATGTTAGAAAAATATCATAAACTATAATCATATCTGTTTATTATTCTGTCAAAATTGTCATCTTGTTAATTAACTTCGCTGCCAATGACAAGCAAACTATTGTTTAACACGCACAATATTTTCATTGTATAAAAACTTAAAAATGACCTTGCAGTGGACATGTACAAAAAAAAGAGATGGAAGGTTATTATCAAAATTTGCATACATACATATTGTGAATAGACTTGATTATAAGCGTAGATTTGAAATATAAAGGTTGGATAATCTGAAAAAATGATAATGGGGATATGAAACGAAAAAGGAAAGTATGCTAGATACACCTACTGGAAATGTGAAGATATGATTGAAGCTTTAAATTTTCTCCTGGACAACATATATGTACGTTTCGGCGATAGAGTGTATCGACAAGTAGTAGGTATTCCTATGGGCACTAACTGCGCCCCTTTAATAGCAGATTTATTCCTGTATTGCTATGAATCTCAGTTTATGACCAAACTCAGTAAAGACACGTCATTGTTACATTTGGTTGATACATTCAACAATACCTTCCGTTATCTAGATGATATTTTTTCGTTCTCTAAATATACTACCGAAATTTACCCAATAGAACTTACTTTAACTAAATCTAACATAAACAGCAGTAGTTGTCCTTTTCTGGATTTGGACATTTCAATCTCTAAAGGAAAACTCCATACGAAAATTTACGACAAAAGAGACGATTTTTCATTCCCTATTGTTAATTTTCCTTTTTTAGACGGCGATGTTCCTTTGGCTCCATCATACGGTGTATAGATATCCCAACTCGTTCGTTATGCCCGTGTGTGTAGTGATGTCATAGATTTTAACGAACGTAATCAATGCATCACTGGTAAATTATTAAATCAAGGATTTCGTTACCATAAATTACGCAAAACTTTTGCTAAGTTCTTTCATAGATATAAAGATTTGATTAGTAAATTTGGCTGTACTTGTAGAAAACTGATTAAAAACGATATTTCACATCCCAAATTTTACGGTAATATTGTACTTAAAGCGCGGAAATCACTATGTGATCCGTGTAAACTCATCGAACCTTTAAACAAACTTATTAGTAAAGGTTATCTTACCAATGAGGATTTGATCTTTGAATATAGTTTACATTGGCACTAATATCGATTTTGTCATCAGCAAATTTAAACATAACTAAATTTGTATTTTTTTCAAGTGGGATGTATAAAGACACACCCACGTTCGTTTGGATCTATAAAGAGGTTAAACTCCTAACTATCCTACTGCCTGTCGATACATTTATTTTTGGCATTGCACTAGTCATGTCTTCTTTGACTGTTGATTTTAGTCTCTGATGCATGATTTTTTATTAATAATTGTTTTGGCTTTTAACTAGCTGTCAGTAACTGCGAGTACTCTCAAATCGTACTTTCTTGTTTATTTGACCTGTTGATACTAATTGTATTGCTTTTTTGTTATTTAATGTTATTCAGGGTTATATCTGGTCTATATACCAGCTTTGATAAGTGTTTGGTATAACTATAAATTTTCACTTCGTACTATGAACATCAAAATTATTTATTTTGTAAAAATACTTCCTTTCTCTATTGGTACTGTACACGTATACCTAACAACAAAATTGTTTTCATTTACCTGTGTTTAAAGTTATTGCAAATGGCTGATAGTTTTGTTCGAGCATATTGTTTTTCTTTAATTGTTAAACATTTCTTACCGATATAACATGTTACTTTTATTATTCTTCCCTTAGTTTATTTATTTTGTATTTACATTGTGTCATAGGTCAAATTTATTTGTTCAGTGTATGTTAAATGGTGTTAATATGTCCTTTGATTGAGTTAAGCTATTTCAGTTAATATTTTATAGTGTGTCTTTCTATGTTGTGATGTTACACTATTGTTTCAGAAAAAGGGTGAAGGTTTGGTACCATTAAAACGTTTAAACCTGCTGCATTTGTTTGCACCTGTCCTAAGTCAGGAATCTGATGTTCAGTAGTTGTCGTTTGTTGATGTGGTTCATAAGTGTTTCTCGTTTCTCGTTTTTTATATAGATTAGACCGTTGGTTTTCCCGTTTGAATGGTTTTACACTAGTAATTTTTGGGGGCCCTTTATAGCTTACTGTTCGGTGTGAGCCAAGGCTCCGTGTTGAAGACCGTACTGTGACCTATAATGGTTTACTTTTATAAATTTTGACTTGGATGGAGAGTTGTCTCATTGGCACTCATACCACATCTTCTTATATCTATATATGACACCATTTTGTTTTTCTTTAATAATAGTTCGGTCTACATGTTGTTTGATTCGAACATTAAAACAATTTGCATCCATTAATATAAATCTTACCAAGAAATAACAGTACAATAATTTGAATACAATATATGTTGCAGGGTATATACAGCCTCGTTATAACCAATCTCACCACGATGAACGCATAATTGACCGAGTAATATCAGTTACATATGAACATGGCCACTGGAGCAAACCATATTTTGATTGTGGAGGCGGAAATATCTGGATGATGACGTATACAGTACCATTTTTTGGTTATAAAAATGGATCTTTTAAATTTAAGTGAGTACCACTAATTAATATGAAAGTCTATACACCTTTATTGCAAATGTAATTATGACTTTTTTGTCTACCTTTGTCAAAAACTTAAAAGCATAATGGCCAGTATGGTACCGGCTACTTATGCTGAATGTAGTTACCGGCTATATATATATTTTCTTTACATTTTAGAATCGAAGATTGAATTGTGTATTAATGATAATAAAAAAACATTGCCGGAAGTTTATAGTAGTTTTGTGCATGCTTTCGTGTTTTCTTAAACAGTTAAACAGAGTTTTTAAGATAACAAAATGATGATATCGTCTTTTAATGTTCACCCTGATTTCGTTTAGACGTTTTCGAAGTAGTATTTTACAATTTTGTAAGTGAACACTTGCTGTTTGGGTACTTTGACCTATAATTGTTTACTCTGTACACATTGTGACTTTGGTAGAGAGTTGTCTCATTGGCACTCATACCACATCTTCTTATTTCTACATATCTCTTTTATGTTGTCTAATAAATGTATTTGGTTTTACGAGTTTAAAATATTGGGAATTAAATAAACTATTTGTTTAAAAGAACAGAAACTTTTGGATAGATAAAAAACCCGGTTCAATAACATATTCCTGAAGAATTTTAAACAAAAGTAGAATTGAATGTTGACGAACAGATATATTGCTTCTTCATTAAAATATTTAACGCATTTAGTAAAAGAATGCAATCTGGACTAAGTAATATCCCTTTTATGCAAATACAGTTTTATTCTTTAAGGTGATTTCGAAAAGAAAAGTTAACTTATTAGATTTACGATCTAGTGCTCGACTTTTATTAAATTGTTCTGACTAGAAGTAAACCGTCTGAACGATTTTTGTTGAGAATTTAATATCGGTATGACCTTTTGTTAAAGACTATCTAAATATACACAGTCTAAATAGAATCTGATATTAAATTTGTATAACCGTGGACGCTGTTGGAGATAAAGACTTCAATAACTGCCAAAGGAATTGAATAAAAGAGATATTTGTTCATCGTGTGGCCTAGTACAATAAATTTAGCAGATTTGTTTGTTTGGATAAATTCAGAAATGTTACAAGACAATATCTCACTTTAAAAACCCTTTAATTTCTTTGTTTTTAATTAAATCAAAAGTATCAGCAGGGTTTATATAAATTTTGGTCTTATTTTGTGTACTGAGATGCCTCCTTTATACCATATTCTAAGATATTTTATTAAAATGGAACGGAAGGATTGGAAACAATTTACCGATGAAATGTACAGTTTTTATAGTTGATTTCTTTGTCATGTTGGAATAGATGATAATTTAGACATACCTCTGAGGATCAAGATATTTAAAAACCGTTACAGGAGGAATGCAATAGTCTATTGCGTATTAAATTGGTGTTCTGGACCAAACATTATTGGATTACTAGTATTTTCTTTGGGGATACTACACTTAAAATACAACAACGCAAAATTCTTTTTACGCACACACGCTCGTCATAGATTTAGGTAAAGGATCATCATATTAGCTTAAACAGTAAGAGGTAATAGAAGAGTAACTTGTCAAACTTTTAATTTCAAATCTACAACTTTATATTATTTTGACAAAATTATAAACACCTTTAAAGGGTAGAAGGTTAAAATGATGTAGCGGTAATCAAAATCATTAGTAAATGAAAGACAGAAAACTTCACTGCAAAAGTAAAAATATAAATAAACAAATAACCGCCATCATAATACTGCCCAGAAATCTGAAGATTGAGCAAAACAAACCCCACCAAAATATTGAAGTGAACTCTGTAAAAGAATGCATTTCATATTCCAATGATGACCTCCGTAGTTTTACTCAAGACATGTGAATGAAAGACGATACGTCGCATGCAATGAGTAGAGTATGGTAATATGGCGAAGAGAAGTTAAACATTGACTTGATTCAACAAAGGGTAAACATAACGCTTTACCCTTCGAAATACATATTCTAAAACAAAATGTTTTAAACATCTTAAAACAAAAATGAATAAACGTAATATGTGCTGCGATAACTTGTACCCCAAGCTCCAACATTTGCCATGAATAAATGCAACTTTAGGGCAATGAAAAGATGTCTGAATAGCAGAACAAAAAAGAAGATAAATGTTAATGTTCGAATCATAAATTTTAAGCAATTAATATCATTCAGTGACGACGGTCTACCAACAGTAAAATATATTAATTTAAAGAACGCGAGGTGTCAAGTTCACTGCGTTTTTACTCTATAATAATAGTTAAAATCATAATGTCGTTTATCTCACACAGCGTCTGTGTCTTTTAATATGCATTGCTAGAATTCTATCCTGAAACGTGTCTGTTCGTCATAGCAATTATAGTCTGACATGTCATAGAGAAGTTTTCATCACATATCATCCAAATTTCTTTTAACGATTTCACATTATATTCTATTCTCTAACAAGCAAATTGATTTTTTAATACTTGACTCTATTCAATACGTGCTTTGTTTCTATTAAATTAGCATGGCCAGATAAACAAATTGGTGCACGGCTATGATTTTAATCCGACACATATTCTTTGATGGTGTGAGATATTTTATATAATTGGCATGGTGAAATTGATCATGATTTCAGAATGTGTTGATCTTTGAAGCAATATAAATAAATACTTGACGATGCGTTGACAATTGTTGCATCAAATTTATAGCTATTATTTGATTAGTGTCAACCTAATTGATAAAACATTATTTTGCTCTTATATCATCATAGTTCGTAATGATTAGACAGTAACTGTTATACTATTTGTGTTGATTTGATATGCACAATTATTGGTCCGTTATTAAATTTATTGTTAATAAACATTATAGTGATTTCGGTTAGTTTTCTTTCCAATAAGCTTGTAATTCGCCAGAAAAATAGATTTCAACAATTTAACACTATGTAAAATAGTTTGCTGTTGTTGATTGATTTAATAATAAAACAATACACAAAAAATGATACCAGGAATGATCAAAAGTATCATTTTGGAGGGTACACCAAACTGTTTCAACCACCAAGCCCGACTCCTCCTCCAAAACAAATTGACTTACAAATACATACAAACAGCAACAAACAACAAACAGTAAAGGCACCTTTGTGGTTGGGTAAAACCAGATTTGCGTGCACACAAACACCCCTGTCGTCTTGGTGAGTTGACTTTCCAATAATATATTTTGTAATCCGTTCTTACAAACAAATTGGAAAACACTTACCGTTACTTTGACATGTTTTTGTCCTATATAATCAAGAACTCTCTAATTGTACTGTGAAAATTTACCTAAGAGAACTTACTTTACATAAATCTAATATTCAAAGCAATATTTGTTTATATCTAGATTTGGATATTTTAGTTTTACAGCGGAAAATCAAAACAAAAATTTCCAACAAAAGAGACATTTTTTTTTGTTTCACATTGTTAATTTTCCTTTTATTTAGGACAGCGATGTTCCTCAGGGCCCTTTTAATGGTGTTCATATTTCCTAACTTGTTTGCTATGCTGTTGTCTGTAGTGACGTTATCGATATTGATGAACGTAATGTCTGTATGATTAGTAAATTATTAAGTCATGTATTTTATTACCATAAGTTACTTAAAATTTTGCTAAATTCTTACATAGACACTAAGATTTGGTTTTGAACTTTGGCTGTCTTATAAAATTGGGTTATCACATCCTCATTTTTACGGTTAGGTTGTTTATCAAATCCGTAGATTTAGATACGATCGATATTAACTCATTAATCCTTTGAATACACGTAATCTAATAGGTTATCAATTCAACACCATATAAAAATAAGGATATGTGGTATGAAAGCCAAAATCTTTGTTTTATACCATCATAGTAAGATTATTGAATATTGTTTTTATCGGTACTAACATTGACTTTGTTTTTGATAAATTAAAATATTACTAAATATTACTAAATATGTTTTGTTGTACAGTTATGAAAACTGATAGTCCTATATCCTGTCAATATTGAATATGTTTACTTTGGCATTGACCAAGGTCATGCTTTTTTCACATTCTTTATTCTGGCAGAATATGAATAAATAATAAATGAACATAAAACTTTATTAATTTCGTTCGTTTGAAGCACTATTCTGGATTTACCATCCCCAGGAATGATCAAACGCAAACACTTGAAAGACCTAAACACGTGAAGAGCTATAAAACCAAAACCTGTGAGGAGTCTTAGATCGTGTCTTATTTGTGTTTGTGCATCGTGAATTTCCAACTAAATTTTACAGTTTGTTCTACAACACTGTCCCGTGTAAGTGGGAGGGTTGAGCGCTCATAGAAATATTTCACCCCTCTACATTCTAAATGTGCCTGTTTTAAGTGAGGAGCCTGTAATTTATTGATTGTCTTTAGTTGCTGTCTGCCATATTTGGTTTTCGTTTATTGTTTTGTCATAAATCAGACCGATGGTTTTATCGTCTGAGTTGTTTCATATTTGGCATTTTATAGCGGACTATAATGCATGGGGTTCTCTCTATTTTGAAGGCTGTATGACCTACACTTGCCTAAATCTGCTTCATTTACACTCATGTTGGATAGATGTCTCACTGGCAATTCAACCACGACGCTTTATTTTATAATATGTTTTTGATATGTTAGGAATCATTATGCTCATTAATATGATTTCCTGTCAAACACACATCAACTAGATAAAGTTAACCTTGCATTTTGTTTTACGACAATAAATCCTATTCTTTCGGATGAATTTATTGTCAACTGATATCTTTTCACTCCTGTATTGAAATTACTAGTTATCAAATGATGTATTTTGCATGGTTTCATTGCCAAGCCCTGTGAATTGTTTTGTCTCACTCTGATAAACGCTAAATTTCTATGCAGACTCATGTTTAGAATAAGATCATTAAACTATTGTGCCTTATCAAACTTATTTGTTGATGCCACATCTACTTAGTAGTGGGACATTATGTTTTCTGGTCTGGTTTATGCATTCGTCCATCCATCCCATGTCCGTCTGTTTTTACGTTCGTCTCTTCCGTATCAGGTTAGCGTTTTTTTGTAGTTGTAGTTTACAATGAAGTTAAAACTAATCTAATAAAATCATATGCCAAATACAGTTTTTACCCAATATCATTTTTCAATGAAATTTGAAATGTTATAGTGTGAAACCTGTACCTTCCCGAGTTAATGTTTTTGGGTAGAATTGTTAACCATGAAGTTTTGTCACATGACCTTGGACATTATGTACAATATGATGTGTAGTTTCTTTTCAATTAAATGCAAAATTATGGTTTTGAACCATATTTCACGGTTCATTGAATACGGGAAAGAATTGTTCAAGCGAGGCATGGTGTCCCATGGACAAATATTCTTGTGTCTAACTATTTTTATTTTACTGCTTGTTTGGTACGACGCTAGTGTACTGATACTCCGAAGTTCCAGTTAATTAGTGTTAAATGCTGTGGAGTTTACGTCAACACTAGAAAACAAATGTTGACCTGAAACGATCATTTCGATCTCAACAGCTCCTTAAACACTGAACAATAAATTATTAAGTCATTGTTAGTCTTTCAGTCAATATTACTTTAAGACAAACGACGAGGTTTCTGTCTTGGGACATGCACAATAACTTGTGACTGCGTTTATCTAACTATATTTTTAAAGCTGAGTCCTATCCATTTAGTTTTTCAACAGAACTACAAGAAGTACATAACACATACAATAAAATCAGTACAGAGAAGGCAAAGGTGTCAACGGTATCAATGATAGGTTCACTTATTAGACCTTAACAATATCACTGCTGGTAGACTGCTAGCCTATAAGGTATCTCCTACCCAGTTAGTCATTGTTTAGGTATTTTTCCTGATTTAATATATTTATTTTAAATTAGTTCTTTTTACGGGAAACAGTTAGTTTAAAAACAAAAAAATAGAAGTACACTCCTTAAGGAAAGTTGACCGTAGAAAATCGTCATCGTTTAGTGATACAGTCCGTCACGTATATACTTCTCATCAAATGTTTTAACCATTAGTTTTGAAATTACCGGATGAAGGTTAATGATTGTTCAGACATATGTATTGGACACAGTTTAACTCGAGTTGAATATTATCTCCTTCAGAATTATGCAGTATATACTAGAATGTATTGTTTTAAAAAAAGTTATATCGAATAAGTGTGTGTTGGTTGAAATATCTTCTAGCAACAACAATTTATTGTTAATTGTATAATACCGATATAAACTGTTATGGTTTATCCCTTTTGTCGATAGCAGAAATAGGAAAAAACAAAACCCAACACAAAACACTAAAAGGTTTCAAACCTTTAACAAGCTCTTTATTTTTACCTTCAAACCTGATAATCATTTGATAAAACTAATGCTTGGAATTTGCTTTGAAGCAGTACAAAATAGGAAATCACACGTGATTAATTAACCGATTAGAACGCCATTATAGCCAAGGTGTTCTTATCATTCCGGTTTTAAAGTTATTGTTTCTAAACATTTGAGTGATTTGGCTTTGTTTTCATTCCAATTTGTTATGACACAGATGAGTGTGCCGAGAATGATCGCCCTAACCATTAAAAAAATGTGTTTTGTAAATGTTTACACAATGTACTGATTTGTAGCAAATATTTTCTATTAATAATATAATGTTATTCACAGCATACATGCACATCTTAACGTACAGTTCTATATCATATTTATATTCTCAGTCCAGGATAATCATTTATCAAACAATTTTAATTCATTTGATAAATGGAAAAATGGTTTTACATATGATTCTGTCTCCGAAAAAAGCAATGAAGATACGCACACCCATGGAGGTATTATAAAAGACCAACAAGGAAAAAGACAACGCCATGACAAAAAAAAAAAGGAAAAATAACAAGCAGTAAAAGCAGACCACAAAAAACCGTTTCACTGGTGGCACCCGTTGTGCTGCATATAACAGTTAATAATCCAGTGATATGTCGTATTCGAGGAAACGAGGATGGGATTGTGGTTTCGATAAATGGAACGAATCCGTGGTCTTCTGTGGTTCACTTATTCGATAACGCTAAACCAACATGGTGGCTTCTGTAAATCATTTGAAACGATTACGTCAGCTTTAACATTAAGTTCAACAATTCCACGAAGACAAGAGCCTTCTATTAAAGAAATAATGATATGAAACACAAGCTCTGGAATATTGTTTCAACTGAGACAAACATTCCATATGTTGCTAGAATATAGCTACATAGAAATAAAAACATCGCGATTGAAAATTTGAGATTATTTTTGTTGTTTATAAAGTTAAGTATACGTAATCTACCTATTTTCACCGTCAATTTTTTATAAAGATCAAAATTTGAAAACATTTCTAAATAATCTGTGGTATTCTTGATTTCAAGTTAAACGGATGCAATCAACAGTCACCACACTTCAAATTATACAGTGACAGGACATAATTATCTATGTAGCAAAGCGCGAAGTTGACGTAAATGCTAGCTTTTTCATCCTCCTCTGAATAAAGGAAATATGGTGGGCGAGAAAAGGAGCACATATGCTGCCAATAGAAATTCCGGCTGTCTCCTGTAAACATGTTCACACAAATATGTTTTCAATATAAAGAAAAATTCAGCATCATGCCAGTCTTTACTTTTGTTTTTAATCAGAAATGTTTTGTTTTTAATTATGAATAAACGCGGAGTTTGGGTAAATGACAATGAGAAAGCAACCAAACGACAAAAGAAGTCAAAAGACTTCTAGATTCAACATTTAGTCCAAAACAAAACAGAAGTGACTATACTATACAATACGTCAAGCTCCCAGTAGTTCGATGCTTATCTTACAATTGCAAAATGGAACAGTGTTGCTTGCAGACAAATTAAAATGAACTCTTGTTGTCAACTAATATATAATTTAATGATAAATTGTGGATGCACAGGGCGGGTAATGCATGCATTACAGTAGACGCTTACCCTGTCCACGCACTCGTTCTTGCTCCTTTTTGGAGTTCTCAGTTTGTTTTATTAGTTTTACATTGGTTTGTATCTTCTTACCACTTTATGAGATTTGAACCTTGGTAAAGTATTACTGTTAGTGTTACCTGAATATATGATCACAAGACTTTAATCAATTTTAAGCTCACAATTTTTTCACAAACTTAAACTGTAAATGGTTTGAAAACTTTGTTTAAAATCTCTAATTGTATCTAGAACACATACACTATTTTTTCTTTTTGGACTCGAAAGAAAAATTCCCTGATCAAGTTGACAAATTTGTTAACCACTTCTGAGAAGCTTATATATTGCCTGTTCCTGAAAAGCCCAGTATAAATGATAAAATTACACAATATTGAGTCTTTAAGAAGGGGTTTATATTGAAAATTAAGATTTTTCGCATAAATGTGATTTTTAACAAGAAAAGCTCATCCTATGAAAGTGAAAATCAAAATTTTAACATATAAGTTGTACGGACAATGTATTATCGATTTTTACATGTGATGGTAGTATTTGAATAAAAAAAGCGTTATTTCTTATTTCTGAAAGTAAATCAATATCTTCTCATATGTCGATGGTAGTCTGCATCAGTGTATATATCACTTTCATGCTTTATATTTTGAATTATAGTCCTGTATAGTTATTCATTTAATTACAAGCACTGCATGATTCGAAGATTACTTTTATTGAATTGAAATATCATTTTCCTGTCAAAAATATTAATATTGCTGCAATATTGGCTTCCGTATTTATTGATAAAATGCATCCACAGATCAACTTCTCGGAGCTCGATAATGAAAAACAATTGTCAAATTTATCTTACAGTACTTTATTTGATTAGCGGAAAATAGCTTCTCCTGTTTTATTATAAGTGAAACCATTATGGCTACATGTTAAAGTAATTTGTCAAACACAAAATGTGATGGATTCATAAATTAATTTATAAGAACCACTGAATTACATATTCAGTTAATAATCAAATAAACGTGTCTCTTTCAAAAACCAATATTCGAGTTAGACACAATACTAACAACAACCCAAACCTTCAAAAAACTTTCCATGAAATTACCTTTACCACTTAATTGTATCTAGCATTTTAAATTTGGGTGATTTGCTATTTTCTTTCGGTTAAACCCAATTGAAACAGTTCTCAAAATTTGGTCTAAACAAACTATATTAACCGACTAAGACTATTGAGTCATTTTTTCAATTGCCATCAAGGTCTTTCTAACCATTTTTAGAAACATAAATGTTTGTATGGAGCATAGTTAAGTATATCGCATCATTAATAGTCTCACGAGAAAACACATTATAATGAAGCGTCAAGTTCCTTCCTATTAGGTGCCAATTACGTTTCTGTGGTCACGGGCAACAATAAAAAGCAAATACTTTTCACAATAAGATATAGATATACATTAGAATTGTAAGCTCAGATGTTAGCAAATTTATATCATAATGTAAATCAAAATATTTTGTTATCAAAACTTCAGTATATAGATATCATGTATATAAAGATTTTTATAGTCGAAGTACAGAAAAAGAACTTGTATTTAATTTTGTTTTTTAGTTTCCCTTCACCAATTTACTTTCAAGCTAGTTTTGTTTGTAACGATATTCACCAATAGCAGCAACATAATAGTCGTCGTCATCATAATTCTTGACTGCAAACTTCCGATAGATTAACATGATTTGAATATTTTTATGACTATTTTGTGCAAATTTTGGATTCATTATATGGTTGACTTTTCTACAGAAACCGTTTTGATGTATCGATTTCTATGATTATAGACTGTTTTCTTTGACCCCTTTGAAGCAGTTTCCATAAATAGATTTGAATGGTGCACACTTATTGCTCTTAGCGACCGTGAAACTTTTCTTGAATAGACAGATATGTACAAATAAGACACCTACACAGGAATTAAATAACTCGTTCAAATGACAGTATTCATCATTAAATATTGATGTTGATTTTTGCAAGGGTAACCTTCATTAATTGCTTTTATATTTTGTAGAGGAACGAGTGGGATCGACATTGACTTACAAAAGGTTGATATCGACCAGTGTCCAAATATACCAGGGAATACCGAACGGAACGTTTTCGCTGGTTCAGCTAAATGTAAACAGGGGACAACTAAGGTAGATATGATTCTTTGCTTTTGATTTATATCATTTGAGTTTTGTCCCCTGGATCTTTTAACACACCAACACCTCTATACCTATCCCATTTACAAATAATATGGCTCATTCTACCTCATATCATGGCACTTTTTTATTATTGCTCAAAATTTTGTTTATTTTATTAGCCCCTCTATTTGCTTAATGTCCTCATATAATCCTTAAATTGCTGTCATGTGTTTACAATGATACTTTATGGCATATATTGATAGAAATTGTTGACAAATTTCCATGTTTGTTCTGTATGCATTCAGGTACTTAAATGTAATAAATTTGAGTTTTCAAGCTTCAAACCAAGAAGCAAATATTAAAAAACTGAACGTGATAATATACTCCAGTTCAAACTATCATAAGTTAGGTAATCACAAACAAACATAGGAATACAATCTGTTGGAACCATATAAGTACATGAACCAAGCATGAAGTCGATGAGTGGATAGGGTAGCCTAAAATATAAACTGAAAATGTTCTGTACAAAAGTTGAAAACCAAAATTGACCTTTGTGAAAATAGAAAAAAAAGTTGTAAAATATTCGAATCATGTCAAATGTATACAGTAGTAGTGTACATGTTATGTATAACTTAGAACTGAGTGTAAAGTTATTGGAAGTAAAAATATAATATGATATTATACTATAATGTAAAGGAGAATGGGTTATGTTGTATTGCTTCGTAGACAATCATGAAATGGAGAACGATAGGAGTAGGAAGTTTCAAATGAAAAAGGGATGGAAGCAATGAGTAGGTGTTGATTATAATGGCTTGGATGGAAACAATGAGTAGGTGTTAATTATAATGGCTTGGATGAAAGCAATGAGTATGTGTTGATTATAATGGCTTCGGTCGCTTTTTTGAACTGGTCGTATGCTTATGTCCATTCTTTTAAATCGTTTTCTCTTTTTTCTCTCTTTCATGTTTCCGAATGTCAATCAAGTGAACAGCATTAATGAGTTCTTAAAAAAAAACACCTTACTATTTCGGAATATTATTTTTTTGAAATTATGTCAATAGTATGATATAAAAGAGGGACGAAAGATACCAGAGGGACAGTCAAACTCATAGATCGAAAACAAACTGACAACGCCGTGGCCAAAAATAAAAAGACAAACAGACAAATAAAAGTACAGATGACACAACATAGAAAACTAAAGACTAAGCAACACGAACCCCACCAAAAACTGGGGGTGATCTCAGCTGCTCCGGAAGGGTAAGCAGATCCTGCTCCACATGTCTCTCTCAGTAATTGGCTAAATAGTACTTCTCTTCCTACTGCTACTTTTACAAATTGTAAAACAAAACAAAACAAGACAAACCCTTAAAAGCCCCAAATAAGATATGCCTCTTGACACTCCTTTTGTAATGGTCAACTAACTCGTGACGACAGTCTTAAAGTGTATGCTGAATCCATGTAGTCTGAATATCACTTTAAATGTGTAGTCTCCGAGAAAGCAATTTCATGTAGAATTATATGCAAATACTATTACTGTGGATTCATTATCATTCGTGGGGTGCCAATTTTCGTAGATTTCGTGGTTTCAGACAAACAACAAATTTAAATGTTCAACGAATTACACATTTTCTATAAGGTTGTATGCAGACATTGCAAAACCACAAAATCAAATATCCACGTTTTTCTCAATCCACGAAAATTGGTACCCACGAAAATAAATGAATCCACAGTGTAATAGTCACTTTGCGTTTCAAACTGTATATATGCAACTAAAATTATAAGTTTCTGTACCTTCTGTTGTAGTGTGTTCCGATAGAGGGTCTCGGATTTCGCAGAGGATCTTATAAGTGTGTTTGTAAGGACGGTTATTACTTTCCAGATATCTTCGCTAATCCGAGATACTACAATGGTTCTGAAATAGAAGCAGAATTTGCGAAGAAAGAGAGGGTGAGTAGTCCTGGAATAAGATTTAAATACGTTTGGTATACAAGTAATAAATTCCGAAAACATTTATAGAAATATATATATATATATATACAAGTCTAAATTGTAAACAACGTTCAAACCTATGATTTTTCATTATTAAAACAAATCGCTTTTAAAGTAAATCAATCCACTCCCTTATTGTATAACATCTATTGCACTCTAACTGATCTGAAATTCATATATATGCACACTTCTAAAAATGATTGAATATGAATTTCAGATCAGTTAAAGTGCAATAGATGTTATACAATAAGGGAGTGGATTGATTTACTTTAAAAGCGATTTATTTTAATAATGAAAAACAATTAGAAGCTTCTATTAGTAAAGGGTTAATTTATTTTCTTTTTGGAGTACAAGATTATCTTCAGTATTTTACTTTAGTTAGATTAGAAAATGACAATGCTGGTAGCTCTTATGTTTTATACAATTCATAGCACTTTCCACTTTAATAAACTTTTAAGGACTCAAACATTTAAATGCTATTTACTCAGAAAATGTAGAACGGAAAAAAATTGAAAAAGTAACTGGTGCAGCAATTGACACCTTGCGAAACAACAGTAAGTTTTATTGTCCATTATATATAATATATTCAAGTGTCCTTCTTTTCCAAAACCTCTACATTTACTGATGAAATAATGTCAACACGACTACTTAAATAGAGGGAACTTTTGAATATCGACTACATCTGTATATTAAAAACGAAAATCATTTAAGTAATACAAGTATAAAACATGACATTATATATAGTTTCATCAATATTGTTTAATTTTGTTATGTGATGGACTTGAACTTCAATGAAATCAGTTATGTATATGTTAGTATTCTCGCAATCAGATTTGATCTCAGATATTTTTTCCACTCTCTTGTCCCCTTTTTGTACTATCCACTTTACATCTATGTTTTGTTATGAACATGCTTGTCTCAGAAGAATGCATTTAGCGCATAAAAAAACTATGCCTGCTATTTATATTCCGTCCGACTAGATGTATGTTGTACTGAAAATATAGTATGTAAGAAAACAGAGGTGTGATGAAGTGAACAATTAAAGGAGAACATTTTTTCAATAAGTATTTTAACGGTGTGAATCTAACCGTAAAAGTATCTTTATTCAGTAAATATATAAAATCAATTATATTGTGAGTTATTTTTAACCTTTAATAATTGCAGGGAGAGCTTACTAGGTATGATACTTTTGTATGTGAACCATGTGCTGTCGGATGTGACACGTGTGAAGACGGAAGTCCATGTATTCTGTCACTTGATTGGTTGACTAGAAGTCTGTTACTTGGAATATCATGTATCGTTATGTGCTGTATCCCACTTTTGATTTGGTTTTCAGTGCAATATAGAGATGTCAAGGTTAGTTACAATGAATACTGATCAAGCTGCTCTTATAAAATAAAATGTGTTCAAGAAATGTTGTTGATACCGTTTTAGAATACTGTGATTTTTCCCAAAATGCTAAAAATATTAAAAACAAACGGATATATATCTCTTTACATCTTCACGTTTAAAACACATTAATGTGTGTAAAATTGTACGTTTATTCGTCATTAAGGTGGTACCCAACACCTTGACTAATATTAATTTGGCTCGTTTAATTTTCATAAAATTTTGACAAAATGTTTACTTTGACCCTTTGACAAAAATATAAAAATTTCAAAAAATTTGAACCAACCACTTTATCAGAAAATTTTCGTTGGTTATATAGCAGTTTGACAAACACTAATTTTGATCATTGAGAAGCTTAATATTTCCTTAACAATACAACGTAATTAAAACGTATAGCTGATTTTTACAGAGTTATCTCCCTGTAGTGTTAGGTACCACCTTAAGTCTTAAAGAAACTGAAGGTAGAAAATAAATTGTATTTTATCTAGACACTCGATTTGAAAAGTATTGAAATGAACAAGTGTAAATGGATTTTATGATTTCGAAATGTCAGAATTGACAACACTAAAATTTCAAAACTTTTAGGGAGCGTAAACACGACGAACCAACAAGTCTTGCATGTATGAACCGGCACTGTAATGTTTCATGATATTAGTACGTAAAATCAAATTAATTTACATAATCCGAATCTGATCCAGAAAAGTAATCCCATGTCGTAATTTCCTCCAGCGTCTTATTATGACAAGACATATTCCAACTTATATCAGTAATCATATAGTGCTTATTAAGAAATATATTACACCTAGAACTAATTTACATTCAGACAGTACCGAGCGATGTTTGTCTATAGATTAAGCCTAGACATAGTTTACCGTCAGATGGTACCGAGCGATCTTTGTCTATAGATTAAGCCTAGACATAATTTACCGTCAGATGGTACCGAGCGATGTTTGTCTATAGATTAAGCCTAGACCTAATTTACCGTCGGATGGTACCGAGCAATGTTTGTCTATCCTCAGCCTCTTCGACTTCGTTTACGATTTTTTGATTCGAACGCCTCTGAAGAGCCTTATGTAGACGAAAAGTCCGTCTGGCGAAATAAATCAAAAGCCTGGTATCTTTGATAGGATTTAACAACCAATTGGTCGATGTCACTACTGGTGATCGATTCGTTTCCTAACTAGCCAGGTAGTCGGCGCTTCTGAAATTTTCGGTAAATTCACTGCTTATAAATGTTAACATTATTTGAAACACTAAGGATGCATATATGGTCATAATCAGATTTAGCCCAACTTTTTTCTCGTCGATTTTGCAATAACTGTTGTGTTTCGACAGCCCCTGATAGGGCTTATGTAGACAAATTACTCATATTGCATATCAAATTTTGAGTCTGGTGTTTTTGAAGAATCTGTTTTGAAAGATTTCTCCTTAATCACATTCTACGTATAGCCTGTCATCAGAGAGTCTTTTTCTTCCGTATCAAGTATGATACTAACTCTAAATCCCAACGGATATTGATATACAAGCATCATATAAATCAACATCATTCATCTCTCCTGTAAATCTATATGATTGTGACATTATTTTACAGTGATCTACTATAAATTCAAGTTTGCGATTCCTCATGATTTAATAATATAAATTGTGAAAAAATTCTTTGCACATTTTTGGAAAATATGTTGATTACTATCTTTCAATGACAGAGTCAAAACATCTGTTCGAGATGTACAATACAATATATATACAAGATTACATACGAAGGGCTAAATTTATATTTTAACGACCTACAATTGAAATTATGTTCACCCTGCTATCTTTAAAAGCGCAATAAGATTTCTTCTCTTTCTTCTTTTATATGCTTGATTAATTCTCTCTGTTTGTGTCACACTTGACTGTGACATAAATGAGATTTGATTTGAACGTTAAGCCACAAATTATATAATTCGTTTTTTTCTGTTCTAAACGTAACTTTAAATGACAGATTAGATTTCTGTTTTGACATTTTAAATGGATATTTGATATTAATAGATTAAAAGAAGTGGAGATTACGTAACGTGTTTTGTTTCTAAAGAAAGCAATGTTTTATTTCAACAAAAGCCTGATATGTTTTCTGAGAAAGCTGTCATTTGGGATAATTCTCACATGCTTTGGCTTAAATTCATGCCATTTTATTATGACACGATATTAGAAACTATTACTTTCATTTTATACAACTTTCGTTGATTAATTTTGAAGTGTTTCTTAAGCGTCGAAAAATCTTCTTTCTTTAACGAAGTGACTCTTTAAATTGAAAAAAAAATAAAGGGATAAGTTTTGACGTTTCAATAATGTTCCCCGAGGGAAACATGTTTTTGCAATTTGTAGCTTCAATTTGAATTTGTCAAATCTATTCAATGTTCATAGTAGATTTCTATCAATGAAGATGAAGATGAAGGCAGCTTCATAAGTTGTAATTAAAATTTAAACTAGCTAAGAGGAATAAAAATCAAAATGCTTTATTTGCAGATAAGGTTTAGGGAGAAAGGATTGAAAATCTTCATTAATAACTTCCGCTTGGAAAGTTGAAATAAACAACAATTGCTTTGTTAGAATATTTTCTTTTATGCAACGACATCTTGATACTGCAAGTCTTTGAAAAATCAATGTATAGGTTGAACGTTATAAAAAAACTTGAATATTACGAATAATGTTTTCATAAAAAGAGAGAGAGAAAGTGTGTGTGCTTTAAAATTAAAAAAACATGAAGGGTAAAGCACACCGTCCCAGCTTGGAAAAATTTAAAAGAATAAATGCATTTATAAGTTTTTTCTATTATTACTTGATAAGGCGAATTTAGCATTTAATAATGCGAATTTAGCATAAATTACAGCATGATCTGATTTTTATTATTTGATATTTTTTGTCATTTTAGGAACATACCATTATTATGCATTTATTGAAAAGGATAGATACACACGTTGAAATGAAATGCCGTATAAAATTGTATATTTTCATGTGATAATGTGAGGCATACTCAAGTATTTTAAGCAATAATATTTCAGTCGTCACGAAGCATACTCTTTTGGACCCATATAAACAATAAATCCTTTGAAAGAAATCATTAGTCTATATTTGAAAATAGCATTTTAAAATTAAAACTTGTTATGGTTTAAAACCAAATGTATAGTCATGTTATCTTTTTCTGACTTTAAGTATATCTTGTTTTAATGAGTGAAAACTATGTGATTGTGTTATTTTGCTATTGTCACTTTTTGTATTCTTGTCTTTCATTTTTGCTTATGTGCTTTGTCTAAAAAGTGTCTATATGCCTTTTTGTTTTTCTTTGTTGACATAGTTGTTTGTTTTTATAGTGATAAAGATTATAAAACAATGTTGACTGCTGTACCCCAATTTTTGACATTTTTACCTATTACGTATGTTTGTTTTGCTCACACGTTGTTGTCAATATCATGGAATTCTATACGACTGTCATACAAGTGAGAGGTTTCGCTAGCTATAAAACCAGATTTAATCCACCATTTTCTGCATAAGGAAACGCCTGTACCATGACGAGTATATGACAGTTAGTTTCCATTAGTCTATATTTGAAAATAGCATTTTAAAATTAAAACTTGTTATGGTTTAAAACCAAATGTATAGTCATGTTATCTTTTTCTGACTTTAAGTATATCTTGTTTTAATGAGTGAAAACTATGTGATTGTGTTATTTTGCTATTGTCACTTTTTGTATTCTTGTCTTTCATTTTTGCTTATGTGCTTTGTCTAAAAAGTGTCTATATGCCTTTTTGTTTTTCTTTGTTGACATAGTTGTTTGTTTTTATAGTGATACAGATTATAAAACAATGTTGACTGCTGTACCCCAATTTTTGACATTTTTACCTATTACGTATGTTTGTTTTGCTCACACGTTGTTGTCAATATCATGGAATTCTATACGACTGTCATACAAGTGAAAGGTTTCGCTAGCTATAAAACCAGATTTAATCCACCATTTTCTGCATAAGGAAACGCCTGTACCATGACGAGTATATGACAGTTAGTTTCCATTAGTTCGATGTGTTTGAGCTTTTGATTTTGCCATTTGATAAGGGACTTTTGGAATTTTCCTTGGAGTTCTTTATTTTTCTTTTGATGATACAGATTTAACACTTCACTTAAACGAATAACAATTTTTTCCCAAATTTAAATGCAGTGGATTTGTTGAATAGTTGTATCTGAAATTACATTTATAAGGAATATTACGTTGGCAAATATGTACGGGTAATTTCACTAATAACTCATAATGTAATTATCTGTAATTTGAATTTTACGGATTTCTAAAGGTTTCCAAATGATTTTAGTATAATAGGGGAAAAACATTTAAAAGTTATTTAATCCTTTTAAAATGCACTAAGGTTTTAGTAGAATTAGAAACCAGGGCCAATAAATATTTTAATTGTTGACTGATGAATAAAATATTGAAAGTGCATTTTTAAATCTAGTTAATTTGGTTCATTCAATAAATTGTTATATGGTAGAAAAATAGTACTTTCCTGATTTATTATCTGAATATGACTTCCTTTAGAAGAAAAAATATTCAAATTTAATCAAGATATTTGATTTGTTCAATTGATAACAATTTTTTTCTATGTTATTGATGTGTATTTTAGGAGATATATGGCATATCTATAGAATCGTCTGTGCTATTTTTCTTGCCAATTTGTTCCTTTATTGCTATGAGACTGGCTTCATACAATATAGTAGCTTCTCTAGAAGAATGAAAACAAACTGGCAATTTCCTATAACTTTTCATTCCGTTATAAAGATGTTACTCTCACTAAATAATAAGTTTGGTAACAATGTTTATCACATATATCTATCCCATTGAAATTTAAACAAAGGATACTACAAATACAGTTAAGTTTGCTTCATAGCTTGAATAAAATTTGCTGTTGACTGAGAACTTAATATCACAAAAAAAGGTGATTAGAATATTCTAATTGTGAACGTTTTTCTATGTATCAAAACTGTAGCGAGAACGTCAAATATTATTATCTCCCAGTAGATATGATATTCTAGGCCTCCCGTGTCCTATCACAATTTCCCTGATTATTGAAAAAGTGCTTTTAAGGAAGCTTATAAACTTATAATTTTTAATGGTAATGTTCAAGGAATTTTCACGTTGAGAGTTTAACAGACACCACCGTCATGTTTGGGTGACGACTGCTATAAATTAGTGTCACAGATGACCATGAATATAGTCATCTTGTCATACCCACGATTCCTGATAATTACTGAATGTTACATATCATTTTCATATCAAGTTGTATTACCTGTGGTGAGCAACATCATGGAAACTGGTGAAACTAAACATATTTATTCGCATTTTCCTTACTTGCTGCAGGTTTTAGAAAGAAATTAATTTTGTTTTTGAACAATTTCTTAATCCATGATATGATACAGTTATCATCATGATTAAAAAATAATTATTGTCAATTGTGTCTAATGTTAACATTTGCATATACTTCACTTATCTTAAAAATACTTTTTAAATATTTTGTTTGAGAACCCGAAGCAATACTTTATTAACTCTAAAGTATATTTGTTTAATCAGTTCAGGATACAACAGATACAGATAAGTCTGCCTCATATCTTGATTAAAATCTAGTGTCGGTTGAAACAAACCAGATGATATTAGCTTCCCAATTGTGAACTTTTCATTTCTATGTAGCAACATTCCAGCAGCGCCTGCATATGAAGTATATATCTCCAAGTTAATATGATATCCAAGAGCATGTATTTCCTATAATGATTTCCTCGATAGAGGGTTGCTGCTTAAACGGAAGCGTTTAAGCCAAGTGTTGGATTTGAAAGCATCCCTTCATTTTTTTACGTACCCCCTCACGAAATGATGAACCATTTTGGAATATTTGTTTCACAGATGACGACAGATATGTTCCAGTATGTCGTTACCATAATTCCGTAATTTTTTCCTCGAATGTAGCAAACCGCATTAGACATTTGATGGTTTTTTGGTTTCTTGCCATGACATTGATTGTTTGTTTTCGACTTGTGAGTTTGATAATCCCTTTAGTATCTTCCGCCTCTCTTTTCTAATGCACACTCAAGTTCGGTGTACTTTCATTTGCTAAAATGTGATAAGTTGCAGTTTGAATTCATCTCTACGAACTGAGGTAATAGAAATTCATGTTATGTCTTTGGTAGTGTAAGTAGCAACAAACAGATTTGCATTATTGTACCTCGTCAACATCATTACAATATGTGTTAACGCATGTTTATTATAATTATAGGTAATGAAAGCAGCGAGTCCAGTATTATTACGTTTGATTGTCCTGGGTGCATTTTTCTTATATTGTCCAGTAAGTATATGTATTACTTATTCAAGTATGAATGAAACACAACAAAAGTAAATGTTCCAAAACGAAATTTAAAAAAATATAAAACGATAAGTGTTATGTGCAATAGACGACTTTCGAGTTCGTGCACTTTCCCGTAAATTTCCTACGTCACAATGCTTATGTTAATACGTCACAGTAGGAACCGATGGTTCGATGACGTCGTTTACGATGATTGACCTCAGGTCAACCGGCGTAACTCATTCAAAAAAATAAAACCAACTCCAGATTGTTGTATGAAACAGATAACCAACAACACCTAAGGAAAAGAAATTTAGGAAGTAATTCTCCTGTAAGATATAGTAGAAGTAACTAGAAATGTAGTCAACGGACAAAATCGTAGTTTGTTAATGGTCTTTAACAATAACGACAGATTTTAAACATCGGTACATGTACCCAAGAGAAGTAATGAGTATGAAATAGGATTTTTATTTTAAACTACAGTATTCATATTTTCAAATGCCTGCATATTTTTTTAGAAGATTTTGTTTGGTTATTTGAAACTAATTTTTTCATATATTTGTTTTCAGTTGATTACTGGATATTTTGAAGCGAGTGTTCTGACATGTATATTACGGTGCTGGTTTAGGGAAATTGGTTTCTCTATATCATATGGTGCTCTATTGTTGAAAACATGGAGGTAAGAATATTAATCGTAAAATTGTTCCTCATTTTTTGTCATAACCGAATGACAGTCTTTACTCTAATCTAGATATGAAACTTATTCTAAAAACACATTTGTATTACTTACCACTGCTGGTGAACAATGATACCATCTGCTTTGTATTCATAGCTCGTGTACTTAAATGATTCAAATTATCAGTTATGATTTTAACTTTTTGTTGAAAAAGTAACATATCAAAAATTAAAAATGAAGTATTAAACTCTATAAACTAAGATTTAAACTCTTTCATCCAAAGTTGTTTTTCGAGGAATTAGACTGTACTCATTTGGCTCCTTTAGGTTAGATGCTTTTAAATATAGTCAACATTACCATTACTCTGCCGATGTTCAAATCCCATTAAAGTTTAATATATTTGGTTTCAAAATGTGTTCCCGAAGGTTTTCATTAAAGCATCGTATTAAAGTGTCGTTTGCATATAAATCATCAACATACATTGTTTTTATCCTTATTTAGGTTCCATAGGAATATTCACACATTGACAAACTCCTGACATATATGTTTGACAATTTTATTTTCATTTGGTAAATTTTCTTCGTTTTCTGTTTCACTTTGTAGACTCATGTCTCTTATAGATCTCTGAGTTTTGTTTCTCTTTTAGTATCTTCAGTCCCTTTTTATTTACAGTATTCACAATAAAAAGATGTTTATACCATATGAACTTTGTTTAACTTGAAAGCAAATTTTCTAATTGAAATAACTGGATTGCGTATTCTATAAATTAGACACAAACATACTAGATTTCGTCATCAGATAAGCATTTTCCGGAATTTCAGAGGTTAAATGAAAGAAATTACTATATTTCTGTCTTATAGAATAGGGAATGTAAACGTGAAATGTGTCAAAGAGACAACAACCCGACTAAAGAGCAGAAAACAGCACAAGGTCACCAATTGTTCATCAAAGAAGAGAGAAAGTCTAGCACCAGTAGGCAGAATTCAGCTGAACCCTAACAATAATTTTTACGAATTAAGCGAAATGGACGCCACACTTAACTTCGAAACCTACAAATGAACCAAAATGTTAAAAACATCCTAGACTTACAGAGGCTGGAGGTTCATGACTTGGGACAGACGCAAAACATGCGGCGGGTTTAAACATGTTTTGTGAAATCTCAACCTTCCCCTATATCTCTAGCCAATATGGAATAAACAAACACACAGCAAAATGCACAGTACAACTTAGTTCAAAAGAAGAAACTAAGCAAAATGACAATGATTAACATAATTTAACAATAGACTACTAACTGTTAACTGACATGCCAATTCCAGACTTCAATTAAACTGATAGAAAGATTATGTCAACCACAGTTCCTATCTTCGGAGGTTTAGTAACAGGTCAAATGTTTTTAATCTCCGATTACATGGTGTATCTTACAATAAACGAAAATTTGCGCTAGACGACTAAACCTTGTTAAAATCTGCCTTTTTACTGGTTATCTTTACCAGCTTATTCATTTAGTTTTTATTCCTTTACAGGACAATAAAACAAATATGTCTTGAAGCCAATTTGTTTAAAAAAATAGCAGTTTATCCTATTAAAAAGTCTTATGTGTTTTGACGCTATTCTGTTAATCTAATTAGTAGTTCGTTGAAATGCTGATAATGGACACCGTTTCAGGAAATAAGATGAAGTACTTTAACGATGCTGACAATAAGAAAATTCAAAGTAATAAATATCATTGACTTAGCTAAACTGATAATAAAGGTCTAGATATATGAGGTAATAACTTCTTTTTATAACTTGACTTTTAACCTTTTCTCTCAATAAGAAGTTAGACAGATAAATAATCAGTGTCACTTTACTTCCAAATCTGTTATATTTGTTTCTTCATTACGTAAAGAGAATTTGTCTTTCGATAAATTGGTAATGTCCATCAAATCGTAACAGTAAAGCGATGCTGACATTTTATAGTAATTTTATCACCAGTCAAACTGTTAATGAACATTTTATACATTTCACATTAGTCTGTATTGATTTCAGAGTAAAATAGTTCGGATGAAATTACAGAATACATATTTCCCCAGATATACACTAGTAATATAATGCATTTAAGTTGGTTATGATCATCTTTAATCACTGGACACCACTACTTGTGTTCAATGACTATAATGTCGAATCTCGGGAACATCATCTGTGAAAGCAAATCAACAAGAGGTAGAATATTAGTAAAAGTAACCACACATTGCTTTCTTGTGTTGATCACAAAGATAAGGTTTGCAATTACGTGTAATTGAACAAAATACTGTAAATTCGAATAACCATTTCATTACCAATAGTTTAGTTAAGTTGCCAACTTTGATCTGAGAAATGTATCAAGAATATACAATATTAACCTTGCCGATAAACACAATTGTTTCCCTCATTAGTGCAATTATAGGGTGATTTGTATCAGTGTATAATTTTCCAAGACGGATGGACAGTCATGATTTATGGTTTCTGATTGCGGCCAAGGTTTTGAACGTCACAAAGGAAATACTTTTCCATAATACAGCAAAAATTACTGTACAAATACCAATTGCAAAGCTATTAGCTATAGATAGTTGAGGCGTTCATGTTGTCTGTAAGTTTGTTATATCTGGTTGAATCTATAACTACAACATTGGAAGGTCAATCATTGTTTTTATTCTTTATTCTTCCGATTTGATATGAACGAACTGTTTAGGCATTTCAAAAGACCCATCCTCCGAAAAAAGGGTATAAATCAAATGAAATAAAAATCTAATTTTGCTTTACAAAGCTGTAGACAGAATTACCTTGAAGGAAAGAGGGCTTTGTAAACGAATGAAAAAAATAAATAAAGCTAGCAAAAATAACGGTGAAACATATGAAACAAAAAATACTGATCAAAGATATCCGGCTAATAATGTGTAACGCCTTACACGCAATCCATATTCACTAGATTCATCAGTGGCGCTCGAATAAAAACTGATGGAGAACCAACTCCAATAGGTTTCGAAAATGACACGTCTTCATCAATGGACAAGTGTTACTACAATATTTCAAACTCTTAATCGCCCTGAATATATAATAGCATTGAATAAATCAACAGCTACAGAGAACATACAAAAATATCTTTTTTCAACACGAAACCCATTCATTGACATTCAAACTAACATATAACAAAACGAAAAATAACCAAAACGAGGTTCCTGACTTAGGATAAGTATATGAACATGTGACAGTACTAAACTAGATAATGAGATCACAACCCTCCCTTATTATGCTCAACAAATATAATAACAAAAGATCTATATCAAATACTATCTTCATAATAATTTGTCGATCTCTAGTTTTCGTTATAGTGTTTTATGGACTTGTTCGTCTTTTCGCAGTATTTCGTGTTTTATGGATTTGTCCGTCTTTTCGTATACGTAGTCTTTCGTGTTTTATGGACTTGTATGTCTTTTCGTAGTCTTTCGTGTTTTATGGACTTGTTCGTCTTTTCGTAGTCTTTCGTGTTTTATGGACTTGTTTGTCTTTTCGTAGTCTTTCGTGTTACATGGACTTGTTTGTCTTTTCGTAGTCTTTCGTGTTTTATTGACTTTTTCGTCTTTTCGTAGTCTTACTTGTTTTGACATTGTAGTCGTCAGTTTGACTTCGTCTTATGAGTTTGACTGCCCCATTTGTGTATCTTCTGCCCGTTTAGAAAATAATTTAGATGACAAAAATGATCGAAAAAAGAAGGCAAAACTAAGCATCTCTTAGATTTTTTTACATTTCTTTTTTCAGAATGGCATTGATAAATCCGATGTTTATTTTAGGAGAAGAAGTCCATGCTCTTCACGCCTTCAATACCTTTATAATACTCTTTTTTTGTCAGTTGGTGGCATTTTGCAAGACATATTTTCTTTCCCTATCCGTATGATCTCGGTTTGCAATGACAGTCTGAATTTCCCACCCGTAATGCTGTTCAATCAATTTTGGAGAGCCTGTCATTTTGTTCTCGTCTTGAAAATGCATCAAAATGTTATCCACAGGACGTTAAGAAAACTATTGTCACCAATGTGTTTAAATTCAGTACCAACTATAATAAAATAGCTTATCATATAAATACTTTTTTTCTTTATTTATTCATTTCAGTATGTTTTGTTATGGTTCTTTTTTTTATTCTTAAGGATTTCAGTTGTATTTCGAGTGCGATCTGCACAGCGTGTGAAAATATCAGATACAGATTTGATCAAAAGACTTCTACTGATAATATTTGTTTTTGCTGCATTCTTAACAGCCAGAACCATAGCAGGACCACCACAAGTTGTAGAAGGTATGATCATATGTATCGAGACCAGCTAAATTAAGTCAAAAATTGGAAATACATGTCATTATGCATTTCATTTATTTTTGCAAAAGATGACTGAAATTATAATGTACCATAAAGAAGATATGGTGGAATTTTTCTAAAATTTCCTCGTAACCCTTTCAAAATCTAATGAATTTAGCGTCTTATAAAACTTGCATTTTTGTCTATGAAATAGATTAAAATTGTTTTCACGGTGTTATTTCATGAAGAATTTGAATAGGAATAACATACAAAATATTTTTGTATGTATTGTTGTCGTTCAGGGAATATCGTTTCTATAAAATTGACGTCATCAAAAAACAAACATTCACACTCAGCGTATATTGTATCACTCTGTTTCATCTGTTAAAAATAAATTATGACAGCTCTGCTGAATGTTGAATAACTTAATCGTCGTTTAAACTTCTATTTCCAGGCAATATTTGCAATATTGTAAATACTGTCACGTACTATTATAATAATAACTTGAATTCATAATAACAAATAAACAAGAAAAAGCATTTCCTTAAAATTTCCATTCAAAGTTGTTAATTAACTATTTTGTATGTAACACTATATCAAATAAGAATCAGGAGAATTGTACCTGTGTTCAAATCTTATTCATTCATTAAAAACATACAAATCTCGGTAAAATAACCTTAGGAAATCGCATGAACTCATTAAGGAGCGGGACTGGGAGCGTCAACACTGTAAACGTTCCCTGTTACGCATGTATTACCATCCATATGAATCCATATACAACCAATTTCAGACAGTAGGGAATTGGACGCATTCGGGAAATTTATTGCATTTTTCAGGAGTCTACAGTAAAACTGAGAAATCATACATTTGTATGGCCCAGACATGGAATCTTTATCTGTGATTCTCTACTACGTATTTTAGTTAAAGCTCTGTTTAAAATGAAGATGTATTCGATCTTTCAATTGAGCATTTGGGAATAGGGGTACGTGTAGGTGTTGATATTATTACAAAACAGGAGAAATTGAGAATTGAGATTTTTGATATAGTGTTACATATAACATAGAATTTTTAGGAAATCATATCTGATTGACATTACTTGTTGCGTTTACCTCAGCAGAATACTTTTATAGGCAATAACTGTAACATAAGTAGTAGTAAGAACATCAGCGGGTACATATATACTCACCATATACTTCTGCAATAATGCCTTTGGAAAAAAATCCTACTTTTCTATGAATGGAATACACATTTCCTTCAAAAATAATATTTAACAAGTAGCAGGTGGTAAAAGAAAGGCGAAAAATACCAAAGGGACATTCAAACTCATAAGTAGACAATAAACTGACAACGCCATGGCTAAAAAAAAAGGAAAGACCAACAGACAAACAACAGTACACAAAACACAACAAAGAAAAAAAAACAACACGAACCCTACCAAAAAAATGGGTGTGATCTCAGGTTCTCCGAAAAGGTAAGCAGATCATTCGACTGGAATGTGTACCAGCAATTATGATAACAAAGGAACGAAAGCATTGATTGTTGTAATTGAAATTTTTAAGAAGACAAGTAGCTTATATAATAAAATTCAATGATTGAATAAATACTTTGTCTAAATGATTATATATGATGTGATGCATAAGTAGATAGAATATGACAATTTCATTTGGAGTTGTTCTCGTTTGCATTATCCTTGCAGAAAATTTGTAATGCCAATTTTTATATAGCTTTCTATACGGCTTGGGTTTTACCCATTGGTGGAGGCCATTGCCATACGATGGTCTTTAGTTGCTTACATCCACGTCTTATGGTTTCTTTATACCACATCTCATTATTTCTATAATTTTAAAGCGATCAATAAATTGATTTGTTTGGAATAATATAGATATAACCCGGAATGGTATATATATAAAAGTCTAATGTTGTTTTGCGATGCAAAGGATAACTATTCAGTAATTATTCTTTAATTTACCATAAATGTATATGACAAAGAGCGAGCACGGTACAACACAAAACATTTAATTTAAAGTCGTTTATTTTTTATTTCAACGTTAACATATAATTCAAAACATGCTGATAGGCCATGCAATTAAACAAAATCAGAAGGAAGCTTGATTCTCAACAAAAGAAATTAAATGAAAATAAGATTGTGAAGGACAATAATTGATATGTTTATTAAATGCTGGACAGCTAATTGACGTATGAGGACACGCTTGCCCTTTAAATATTTTTTTCATTTGCAGAAGTTTTACCAATACATATGTAAATGCAGCTCATTCGATTTGTCTTTTCATAAGAACTGTAAGATTTTGATCATTAATCTTCTGCTTAGTTTGTGATAGCTAACTGAGTTTTGTTAATAAAATTACCATAAAACCAGTAAATTCCATTTCCAAACAATGATACGTAAGAAAGAATTTGTATTGTTATTTCGGTTAATAGACCGAAATTATATTTCAAGGTTTTAACCCTATATCGTATATGGCTATTTAGAATAATTTGTTTATCAGTATTGAAATAGGATCAGTAATAAAGCGACTACTTTATATCATAAAGATATTCGATTATTTGATCATTTCTATGTAACTACATGTCTATGGTTTCAGAAGTCGTGATATAAAAATCGTATGAACATGTTGATGGTTACCATGCATTACATTTGCCGTGAGACATTTTAGATAGTAAAAAACTGCACAATTCTATAAACTACGTTACTGTACTTTTCCTTATACGGTTATGTCAATAGAAGCAAATGCTCGTTCATTACAGACACATAGATTTTTCGAAAACTTTTGTAAAATACTTTTGGGTTCATGGAAATTTCAAATCTAAATATAAAAACAGGGGGTCACCGACCTTGGAGAAATCCACAAAACACAAATTGTCCAATCAAATTCAATATAATTATCTTCCCTTGATTTTAAAAGGATTTTTTTTTGAAAATGTAAAATACACTTAACGACACTTAATTTTTTGATAGCTTAATCTTTAAATTTCAAGTCATAAATATTTCTGTTGTATGTTAAATGATACTTGATATGTTTAAAAAAAAAAAAAAAAAAAGAATATTTGCAACATGCGATGAAGGGCTGCTCAGAAAAAGACATACAATCTACCTTAAATGAGATTCATGTACTTTTGTAGGCAAACATTACAATGAGTTGAAGGCCTTCCAGTGTTCGGCAGATTGGTGGGACCATTCGGCTGCTATTGGTGAGCTCATTATTTATATAAAGATAAATATACAAATGTGCACTGGTACCGTTTAATTCAATTTCCTCTGTTATATGAAACATTAGCTTTTTCCCGGGCAGTTTAATCAAACATCTGAATACCAGAGCCAACAGGAACATAAGACACATAAAACAATAAAGCAATTGATCTGTAAATCCATCTAAAAATAGATATACTTTAACTACTGGTGTTTACAAAAATAAACTGTTGGATAATAGCTTTACGACTGAATTATTAACTTACTTCAACGAGTGTCGCTTATGCCAATTGGTTTGTTAACAAAATTTCATCTTCATGTATGAAATTGCATTATGTCCTTCAGCAACAAACACAATCTTTGAACGCAAATTTTATTCAGTTAAGGTGTATGACCCTTCTGTATGTCTGTGTCTTACAAAATTTTCAAATTGCTGCAATTACAGCATAAAATTGAAGGGATAAATGAGTCAACATAGATCTTAAATTAATTTACGGGCTTTAAAAAACATAACCGGCAACACATTGTTCATTATTATGTGAACTATTTAAATCAAATGCGAAATTACGTTTTCGACTCTGATTTCACAGTTCGCAGAACATAGAAATAAGTGTTAGTGCGAGCGGGTCATTGGTTATATGCACACACATTATTATTCCTTCATAAGGCCTATGGAAGTCAAATATTTGAACTAAAATATAATTTATCTGATTGATTAAATTGCTGAATTATGGTTATTACTTATTTGTATTGGTTGTTCGGGCGGACTTTTTTTGTTCGCATGTGTTTAATGTATGAAGATATTATACAACAAGATCAACTATTTATTGTTTCAGCTGAACTATTGTTCCTGATATGGGGAATAAGACTATGTATTGTAGTCAGAAAGGCTCCATCTGAATTCAACGAAAGCAGATTTATCAGTTGGGCTATTTATAACGAGACGCTATTATCATTATTTCTGAATGTATCAATGTAAGTGAGATCTATGAAGTTAAAAATTCCATCGTCTTATCCAAAAAACCTTGCTTAATACTATTATATGTTAAAATCTCGTCTTTTCATGGACTTTTGATAACACTAGTACATGTACTATTGTGTAATAACGCTTTAATGCAACATTGATCCATAAGTCTATGGCATTATTGATAATACAACAATACCCATTATCAAGCATAGATAAAAATGAAGACTAAGTAATCCGTGTACAAAATTATGGTACATAGCAAATAAAAAATATCAATTTGTTCACATAAATGATGATCTATTTGTATTTCTATCTTTTGTAACTCATAAATCTTATCCCACTCAAAAGGGATTGGCAATAATATGTTCTTATGGTTATCATATAAATGCTGATAATGAAATATAACATAAAGGAACGTCTATGCATCGCAGATTTACTTTATTTTTTATTTTTAAGGTAATCCTATGAAAATCACTGTTGATTCGCGTAATAAAAATCATCGTATTTGTATCCAATAACTTTATAAATCAAATTGTTGTTTCAATGCAAATGTTTGTACGAGTATATATAATCTCGAAAGAAATTTTAATCGTGTAGGTCCTGTGTAAATATTTCGTTTTGCCACTGATAAGTCTTATGTACACGAAACACGAGTCTTCCGTACAGAATTATAAGTATCTTTGATAAGGTTTTCAAACACCACAAAATAATTTTAAGTCTGAAACGATCATGATGATCTTAACATCATCTGCATAGTCAATTCAATACTGTTTAGGAAATTTTCAGATGATTCAGTTTATTGTTGATGTGTACAGGTAAATAACAATTACTTCACAGTCTGAATATAAAATGAACAGATCTTAATTGTCTGCAAGCGTATTGTCTTAAAAGTGTTGAATTAACCACAGTGGATAAGTCTGAAAATTGGTTGAAATATAAATAAGAAGATGTGGTATGACTGCCAATGAGACAACTGTCCATCCAAGTCACAATGAATAAAAGTTAACAATTATTGGTCAAAGTACGACCTTCAACACAGAATCTTGGCTCACACAGAACAGCAAGCTATAAAGGGCCCCAAAATGACTAGTGTAAAACAATTCAAACAGGAAAACCAACGGTTTAATATATATAAAAAACGAGAAATGAGAAACACTTATGAACCACACCAACAAACGACAACCAATGAACAATAGGGTCCTGACTTAGGACAGGTGCATAAAAATGTAGCGGGTGTAAACGTTTTAACGGGCGCCGACCTTCACCCTAACCTGAGACAGTAGTGTAACATTTCAACATAAAAAGACACACTATAAAATATCAATTGAAATGACTCAACTCGATCAAAAAGACAACCTTGATTTATGAACTATAGTGTCGAATATTTTCAGAAGCAAGTTAACCACGTCCAATAATTACTAACATTATGAATTTTTTAAAAGTCCTAAATGAATCATAACAGGATTTGTATGGTATAATTCAGAATTCCTTGTGCACGACAAATGCTGCTTGAAAAAAAGTCTAGAGGAACATTTGAAATCAAACATTTTGAAAGAAATTGATAATAACAAACTAAACGGTAGAGCAAAAATACATAAAAAGGATAACAGTAACCGCCAAACATACTGGACATGGCACAGCAAGATTAACTTGTGACAAGCACGAAAGGTGGAGAGGGCTAACCAGTTCTACGTGCGCTCAATCCTGCTAGTACATCTAAGTAGACCGTATGTCGAAAAACTGAAGCGAACTCTTAAAAACCTTCAAAGTACAGATACCAATGGGGTGATTAATATGATCACCAAAAGGACTTAAACAGAAGTCAGATTTGCCTGAGGTGTAGAATCTTAAGTCTAAGTACAGTTAGATTAGTTTAAGCACAATGATATACATTTTTGCATGGAAGTTTACAATACATAATGTATTATTTAAATAATGTTTATTCCTGAAAACTAGGGTAGTTTCTATCGCAGTATGATTCCAATTACATTACATATATAACTTCCTAAGCACAACTATTGTGAGATATTCATGTTCATGGACTAATTGTCGATCCCCTATAGTGTATCGCCAAAATAGTGGGAATTCACTTTCTGGTTTAAAACTCTTTATCCCTTGTTGTTATAAATAAAATGGGGTACAGTCGTAAAATATATAGCAGATTATTTAAAAAGATTAAAAATAAATTAAAATATAACATTTGTTTTCATTATATTTCAGGATATTTTTACAGCATCCCTTTCCATCGAACCCTGATTTGGTTTATTTAGTAATATTCATTCACACACAGCTAACAACGACAGTTACACTTGCCTTCTTATTTGGAAGCAAAGTAAGTATGCAAAATAAAATAATGTAAAACTTTTGCAATGGTCGGATCCAAGGTCGAGTATTAGTGAAGGGCTTTTTATGTTAATCAAGATAAAGTAATCAAATGTTTGATTTTTGCTTTAATTTGATTTGACTTACATCAAAAAATCGAGGTCTTTTCGTCGTTTTTCGTTTATTGTTCTGCCATTCCGTTGCCATTTGTTTCCACGTACGAGTTTTGAATGTCCCCTGGGTATCTTCGGCCTCTTTTTCAAAATTTTGTTTTTTTTCATGTCCTTGTTTAGAATAAACGACAAAAAGACAATGATTTTCCTCCATAGATGTAAACTCATTGTAGATACCAGGATCAAAATGTTGTACTCCAGAATCGCGATTCGTCTACACAAGGTTATAGTATATAGTTTTGTTCGGATTTTTTGTTTGTCTTGTGTTTTATTTTCCTTTGGCATTGTGTTATCCTTTATCGAATAATGAATGTTTTATTTTCTATTTGTATCTTATTGGTTTTGCAACTTTAGCATTTCTTTAAATGCTAGATTGTTCTGATGCTGTTTTAAGATAATATATTAAAGACATATATTTGCTTGCAGTAGTTAAAGAGAACATTATACTATTGTTTCAGAAAAGGGAGAAGGTTTGGTACCATTAAAACGTTTAATCCCGCTGCAAATGTTTGCACCTGTCCTAAGTCAGGAATCTGATTACAGTAGTTGTCGTCTGTTTATTTAGTTCATACGTGTTTCTCGTTTCTCGTTTTAATATAGATTAGACCGTTGGTTTTTCCGTTTGAATGGTTTTACACTAGTAATTTTTTTTTGGGGCCCTTTATAGCTTGCTGTTCGGTGTGAGCCAATGCTCCGTGTTGAAGGCCGTACATTGACCTATAATGGTTTACTTTTATAAATTGTAAATTGGATGGAGAGTTGTCTCATTGGCACTCATACCACATCTTCTATATCTATGAAGATTGTACGATAAACAATAGTTGCTTGCATCTACGTCATTTGGTCTCTGGTGGATATTTGTTAGTTGTCTAATTGGAAATTATACCACATTTATTTATTTTACATGAAATCCATTTATTATTGCAAAGTTGTACTTTGAGGTGTTAACAGTTTTTCCTCTATAGTTTCATTTAATCGCTTGTTGTCATACACTGTTATCTGTATTAATATCTTTAAAATTTCTTTTATTCTCCCTTTAACTACCTTTTGTTTATTATTTATTGATAATTGTTTTAAAATACAAAAAAAGCATGAAATTATATGTGCTTAACAATGTTCTCTTTGTTTAATGAAAGTATTACAGATATTAACAAAGTTTTTGTTTTTTATTTAAACAGTAAATAAATCATAGATACCAGGTTAAAATTGACGCGCGTTTCGTTTACAAAAGATTCATCAGTAACTCGAGAATAAAAAAAGTTAAAAAGGCAAAATAAAGTAAGTTGAAGAGCATTGAGGACCAATTACAGCTAAGTTAATCTATGACTAGGGTAGAAAATCCTTAGTATCTCGAAAATTCAAAGTTCTGTAAACATTTAAAACTACCCAAATCTCGCTAATTTTGATGTTTTGCATAATTCATATATTACATACTAAAATTTAGTGAAAAAAGACAAAAAAAAGTAAATTTCATTGGTCTGATCAGTGCATGTTGATAAACGTTATCGTAAAGGTGAAAGGCCTATAAACATCATCAAAAACATAAAACCATCATTAATCGAACAATGAGAATACCATGATTTTATTATCGAGACATTAACCTTTTTATTAAAATAGGTTAATTTAAAGAAAGGTCAAATTTTTATCATGAAGAATCGTCAATTCATATTTGATCAAATTCAAATAGTTTTTAAAATAATATAATCGAAACCATGAGTGAAAAAGTTATCTTGCAAAGCTCAATCTGAAATACTTTGTTTTATGAACATTTCAAGAGAGGGACGAAAGATACCATAGGAACAGTCAAACTCATAGATCGAAAACAAACTGACAACGCTATGGCCAAAAATTGTAGTATATCCCTCAGATATTCTGTTAAATTAAATTTGAAAATAAGTATGACAAATACTTTGCAGGTCAGATATTTGTTAACTTGTGAAAATAAAAATAATTAACATAAAGACTTAGAAAATTAAAATAGGTTAATTTAAAGAAAGGTCAAATTTTTATCATGAAGAATCGTCAATTCATATTTGATCAAATTCAAATAGTTTTTAAAATAAATTAATCGAAACCATGTGTGAAAAAGTCATCTTGCAAAGCTCAATCTGAAATACTTTGTTTTATGAACATTTTAAGAGAGGGACGAAAGATACCAGAGGAACAGTCAAACTCATAGATCTAAAACAAACTGACAACGCTATGGCCAAAAATTGTAGTATATCCCTCAGATATTCTGTTAAATTAAATTTGAAAATAAGTATGACAAATACTTTGCAGGTCAGATATTTGTTAACTTTTGAAAATAAAAATAAATAACATAAAGACTTAGAAAATAAGTTCAATATGTTGACCCAAATGCATTCCCAGGTCGGGCTTAATTTACATTGTCCATTTATATTAAAAAAAAAAAGACGTTATTATTATCATCACATTCTCATCTGGTTAAAATCCGTTCATGGTGGTGGAGTGGTTTTCTCTAATAGATGCTCAATAAAAAGGAATTGAAATGGGTATATAGAAGTTGGAAACAATCAGTTTGATGTGTCCTGGTCGTCACCAAATGACGGACAATGATTAAACTGTAAAGCTTACTTGAATGAAAAATGATTACCAGTTTTCTCGACAAGACATAAATAATTTGCACCCAATTTTCATCATATATATATATATATAAATATAGCTGCATTTTGAATGACATAAGTAGCAGGTATACTTTAATCCTATAAAAATATATACTGTAAGACAGAATAATTTAAATATTAAATACATTTTTAAACTGCTGTTATAATACGTTCATTTCATGTTCATATAAAAAAAATCCATTTCATGTAATGTATGCTACTGAGACATTCAGGTAAAAATTTTGGATAAGACAAAATATTGTGCACGTGTTAAAAGTCCATGTATGAACATGCAGTGAAGTAATGAAATGGCGATGAAATTGAACACGACACAATTGCATGTGAGAAGAGTATTCATGGATAATGTACACACATAATTACATTTCTAGTGCAGTTTTAATTGGTTGTTTCCTAACTTATTTAACACGGCCTTTAATGTGGTTATATGATCATTACCTTACACAACAAATCAGAGGTATTACTAATGCGAAAAACCCCAACAATTTGCTATTTTCGCTCTGTTATGCGCATTACCGTGACCAATTATGATGTACAAAAACATACGATTTGATTCACGAACAGCATTGATGACTATATCAGACATTAGATGAAAAATAAACGACAACTGTGCCATTAAAAATTATAGGATAAGACTGTGATGTCTACTTAATGATGTCGTTAACGGTTATTTCCTCCCAGATTTGCTTTTCGTCTATTTATGTTGCTATTCTTTGCAGGAAATTTTTAAATGAAGATAAAAGTCAACATTTGTAGCTTGAATCATTTAGTCTGTTGCGATCTTAAAACAGGCAAATTCTTGGGCTCAATAGTGTTACTTGATTGCAAAGAAGGAAATGTCTTTCTAATGCCAATCGACTACTGCTGAATGCAATTTTATATAATCATATTTGAAAAGACTTCATTTCAATATTTATATAAAATAAGAAGATGTGGTATGATTGCCAATGTGACAACTCTCTACCAGAGAATAAATGACGAAGGATAAAACAACTATTGGTCATCGTACGTCCATCAACAATGAGAAAAACCCACACCACATAGCAAGATATTGGTCACCCCGAAAAGAAAATTAAAACGAGAAAACCAACAGCCTGATTAATGTACATAATAACGAAAAATAAATATGATATATACAGCAACAAAACACGACCACTGCATTACAAAATGCCTGACTTGGGACTGGATTTACAGAATGTGGCGGGGTTTTACAAGTTTGCGGGTGCCCAATCCTTACCTGACCTGGTACAGGTATGTAACTACACAACATAAGAACACGCTTAAACATTCATCAGTTGAAAATGGCTTAACTCATCAGAACGATACAAAGCATAAAAGCAACTACCAAAAACAATACAAACACAAAGTGCAGATCTGAGAGAAATTGTATTTTTGTAGTATTGTTTCCTTATGTTTCAATTGAATATTGTTAAAATTGATATATATCAAGACATAATGTATCAATACATTTATATGTTTGAAGACTGTATGTTGCCTTCGTGATGTTTTTTGGTTATTTTTTTGTCGTTGTGTGGTTGTCTACTTGATTTATATTTCATATCTTCTTTTATTTATGTGCACTGGAATGACTAACGATGCGTTCTGGTGTAATTTGCAGTGTTTTGGTTTTTTTTGTCATCCCTTTTTTATATATATAAGTGCAGTGAAAAGGGAAATGTTCAATTTTAGTGGAAATCAAATGTTGGCACCAATACAATAAGTGTATAATTTTAAACAAAGGCAACAGTAATATTCCGTTGTTCAATAGTCATAATTCGATAAGCAAAAACAAATCCGGATAAAATTGACACGATATGCTGCAATAATTATACTTCACTTGAATAATACATGCCCTTATTGGTTACAAGAACATATACTTGTTATAATCTACCGAATTCTAAAATGAAATATATTCAAAATTAAGCTGGATCTGTACTTGGCTTTTGTGTGATTTTTTAAAGAAAGGAATGATTGTTCGAGCTTTGTATATTTAACGCGTTTTGATGCATATTCATGACAATACTTATAAACGAGCCGGGATGTCTAAATACAAATACGTATAATACACTTGGTTTCATCTAATTTTTGTGAATAATTTCAGTAAGATACGATTGGCATTAGTTTTAACCCCTCTTTAAATCTGGCAGAAACTGTCAGGAGAATCGTTTTCGAACAGTTTCCAGAAAACTTTTTCCGACACGTTTAGAAAAGTTTCTGACAGAAATGTTTTGGACAGTTTTACCTTAAAACAGATTCCGACAGTTCTATCTTAGAACAAACTCTGACAGTTTGATCTGTAGAATAATTGTAGAACAGATCATTCTCAGATTTCTGAGTTAGGTCAGTTTAGAATTGATCGCAACTGTAGATATAATCTTCAGACTTTCTACCTTTTGTGGTATTCAATTGACATTTAACCGTGAAACTTTGATTCATACGAGGATTTGATTGGTTATGTTTCTTCAAATTAAAACGAAAATATTCAAGTGAAGTTTAACGCTATTTTTTATTTGTACTGGGATTTGTTTGCTTACATTATTTCAAATTTGAATAAATAATCAAGTGGTATTTAACATTTACTTATTTCCTAAATTTGTACGGGGAATTGTTTGATTCATTTCTTGTAAATTTAGATAGATCGTTGAATTCAGTGCAATGTCCCTCGACAAAAGAAATCATTTCCAGAGAACTGTCAGTTGCCTTCAAACTAATCAATGATTAATTACAGATGTAGAACTTTCCACGAACAAAACAATCGACTTTAAATGAAATATATTCCGTTGATTATCTGTTTAAAATTATTGTTTTTGCTGATAATGATAAAATTCTATAAGTAAAGTAATTGAATAAGAATGTTGATTGTAACGAGTCGTTTATGTTATGTTTAAGGCGCTGCAATCCACGAAGGGAAACATTATATTTAATACCTATTGCAATATAAAACTATGAATGGAAACAGGGAATGCGTCAAAAAAACAACAACCCGACCAAAGAGCAGAAAACAGCCTAAGGCCAGCAATGGGTCTTCAACGCAGCGAGAAAATCCCGCATCCGGAGGCGGGCTTCAGCTGGTCCCTAAACAATAATGTATACTAGTTCAGCGAAAATGGACGTCACACTAAAATCCAAAACATATAAATGAACCAAAATAAAAAAAAAACATACAAGAAAAACAAATGCCAGAGGTTCCTGACTTGGGACAGGATCAAAAATGTAGCGGAGATAAACATGTTTTATGAGATAACCCCCCCCCCCCCCCCCCCCCCCCCCCCCCACACACACACCTCTAGCCAATGTGGAATAAACAAACACACAGCAATATGACATTTCTATCATGCATTTATAAATGCATTTTTTTCACATATGTTCCTAAAAATCATATTCTAAAAGTTATGAAATGATAACACCTTTATCTCTTGTTTTTATCATTCTGGGGTGCTCAAATGCTCAATTTAATGATATTGTTTCAGTCAATGTATCAAATTATTTGTAATTTTCGTCCTCGACGTTTAAAATTGAACAACAGAGACACTGTTTCTAGAAATGAAAGATAAGTTTTCATTGCTAACCCTGTACATATTTACTTTACAGTTTTATTCTTGTTAGTGTACTTCTAAATAATTACATTGTACAGTCAGGTTAATTTCAAAATTTCTTGAAAAAGCCATTTTTTTCTCAAATTTTTTGTTTTATTTTAAAACCTTAAACGTTTTGTATTTTTGGTTTTGTAAATATTTGGTCTCGAGCATACCTGATGAGAGTTTTACCACAGCGAATGGTCGTGCGTACGGGAATCAGTATCCTTTATGTGCTGCTGTGATCAATCTCCGAGATTACTATTCACCAAATAACCAGTATATCAGTGCAAGAATTATCAAAATGAACAAACTATGTCCTTAGACGATATTAACTGTTCGATATCGGGCCCTTTGGTTTAATGCTCTAAAATATTATATATCTTTGTTTTTTTTATTTTTATGCCCCCGCCGTAGGCTACGGGGGAATTAAGTGTTAGCCTTGACCGTCCGTCCTTCCGTCTTGCCTTCCTTCCGTGTTTCCGTCTTTCCGTTTTCCGTCCTTCTGTCTGTCCGTCCGTCCGTCCGTCCCATTTGCGTTTGTTTGAAGCTTGAGCGGGGGCATTCGTGTCCTCAGACACATTCTTCTTTTTGTTTTTCTTGCATGAATAGTGTAGGTTATTTTCGAAATAAGTGTCTTACGAATTTGACATCGTACTTATACTTTTAACGATTCAAAATTTTTACCTCTCGAAAAGTTATATACCAAAACACAAGATTTTGGTTAGTGAAGTATTTTTGTTTTTATTAATGCTTGCTGAAGTGTTTATTACATTTATACAAAAGTTGTGTGTTGTACTATTGATTTGAACGAATGATATACAACATATCATATTTCATTATTTTTGTTTCAGGCTTACCATATATACAGAAGAGGGAAAAATGATGAAAATTCACACACTACAATGATAAGTAAAGGTGGTTCAAAGAAGAGTAAATCACCGAATAATACATACAACACAAATTTATTAAATAATTCAAATAACATTAGCTATTCTGACAAAGTTGACGATGCAGAATGTGAAAGTTTATTAGAGAAAGATATCCAGGTACTTAACATATGTCTTTTATATACCCTACCTATAGGACCGATGTAAACCCATGATGTTTAAGAATATTCGTGTACCTCAGTGTTTTGTTATTTGTCTATGAAATGTTGTTTGGTTATGGTAACTTTCTTCAGTTTTTTCAACTTACTGCGCATTAATGCTATCTTAGTACATGTTTAGTCTTTTTAGCGCAAACATGGTTGCTACTGAAAACAAGCAAAATCAAGTATTTGATACAAAAATTTAAACACTATAATAAACAAGATTATGAACAAAATTATAAACAAACTCTTGTAAAGGCCCGAAGAATACCAACATCGGAATAAATGATACATCTTTAATAGTTTAACCAAACAATTACCCATTACCACACAAATTAGGACATTGGCAAGGAAATGCAATTATAAGATATTTAAAATGATGTAGTAGTCCAAATATGCCTTTTGCTGAAAAATGATAAATTAGTTATGGCTTTACAGAATTATGATTGATGATATTTACGGCCATTGAACACGGCTGCCGATGCTACTAAAAGTATAAAAGTAAAAACTATTGCACAAATTAGCTGAATTTTAATGTGAATAAATTAGCAAAGAACCAATAAATTCAGAAATTATGTCTTGATAAAAAGATGTAGTAGAGTGCAAATTCCTACTAACACTGAGTAGATTTTATATTTATGAAATTTTTTTTTAGAATTATGGTTGATGATTCCAACTGTCTGTCTGAAACTTTAAACTGTATAATGTAACAGAATAATAAATAATAAACAGGAAATTCAGTAAAAAACAAAAACCAAAACAAATCACACAAAAGATCAAGTGTTACATACAAACTGAATCAAACATATGCAAAAGAAAGCATTTTTAATTTTTTTTTGTGTACAATGTGTACAATCGATTCTGATTCATTCATGTCGACAAGAAATTGTTATATAATTTTTTTGAATTCAAATTTAAATTTTACATATTGTATGTAGTATAATGAAGATTTAGAATTAATTATAATGTGTACTTTTGAATTTACAGGAGGAATTCAGAAGACTGTATACTCAATTAGAATATTTAAAACAAAGGAATATGAAAATAGGAAACCGACATTTACAGCACAAGCTGTCGGCAATGACAGAAGCAGCACAAAAAGACACTCCAAATTCAGTACCAGCTTCTCCGGCCATTAACGGCAAGAGAGTGATAATAAATCTCGATATATTCAAGGAATCAACAGATTTATAGCTTTCCAATCAGTTGCCTTCGCTTTCACAAATTGTGAAGAATTTATGCCGAAATAAATAGGATGAATAAGCAATCATACCAAGCAGAAAGGTTTCGTTTTAACCAATGTAAAGTTTTGTTTTACTCTAATCAGAAGGGCGTTTAACTGTTGTATATTAAAAAGATGATGATGCAGTAACATACTTTCGGAAGATTCATATATATATATATATATAGATTCTACCACTGCATCGAGTGTGATACGATATTTATCCACTCGAGACAGTTAAATTTTCAAATTTAAAACGCGAGGCTCGCCGAGCGTTTTAAATATTTAAAATTTAACTGTCGAGAGTGGATAAATATCGTATTACACGAGATTTGTGGTGGAATCTGTTTCTCTAATGATTTTCAAACAATATGCAGGCAAACTTATTCCGTCTTTTCGAATGTTCTGTAAAAAGATGTGTTCTTTCTGTGTGACGTCATCAGGCATGGTCGGCTTTTTTCATGCCGTCACAATAGGAAATTCAGAGGAAAGCAAGTAAATTCGACGTCATAATCGGATTTTAACCAATGAAGAACTGAGATCAAACGAACCACACGTTGATTAATTTATTTTATACAATGGGTGAAGAAAGGGATAAATTGACGAAGAATTAGAGAAATATATATATATATATCTTCAAGATTAATTAGACCTGTAAATAAAACAGCTGAAAGATAAACTAGTGAATGAATATTGGTAAAAGTTATTGTGATGGAATCTGTTACGCTGTTATACAGTATTGCAATTCGGAGAAAACATGCTTAAGATGATGCATTTGTTTTTTGTGTAAAAGCTTGGTCCGGCTTAATATCAAAATAAAGCCACAAGGCAACCTTCGAATATGCCAAAGACAATTCCTGCATCTTAGGGTTTAAACATTTTCTAGCGCTATCCTTACAAGAATCAGTTTCAAGATGCAAATCTGGATACAAATAGTCTTTTTACTGACCGTTTAAAAAAAATTATTTCATCATTTTTTGTAAAAATATAATAGTACAATATTAGCACATGTAATCGTACAGCTAAAATTTATGTTCACCGGCATTCAGTTGTTTATTCCATGCATCAGAATAACAGATCATTCCAGTCACTGTATCGCTAATTGATATGGTTGTACGTTAAAGAAATACAGGAACCTTGCTTCCTATAACCAATAGTAAATTGAATGGTTTTTTTACTCTGACAATTATAGAAATCGACATATTTTCACTCACCTCTTTCAAATCTGTGATATTTATCCCTTTTTTGTGAACCCCTTGTCATCTTAACTAAAAACCCAGTTTATGTTTTATTATAATAATTTAAAGACTTAAACTATTCATGATGTTGTATTTCAAAAGCAGTATTTCCAGGTTCTCGAGCGTGGATTTTATTATTAATGCTAACCTTTTTTCCTGCAGCATTTCTCAAAATATGTGTATAAATGCCAGATAAATTTTGTATTGGCATGATTTTGAATATTGTGTTTTTATTAAAAGCTGTATTTAATGTGAACGGAATAAATCTTAACACCTTCGACTATAAATAAACAAACATACAATGAAATCTATTTTCATTGCACCTCTTTCTGCATATGGATGTTTCGATGTCTAATACAAAATACTAATGAGAAACAATCTTGTTGTTTGTATGTAAATGAAATTGACATATATGTGTTGTTGCTACAGTTTAAAAGCTTCATAAAGATAGATGAGAGTGTGTTTTGGTAAGTTTGTATGAATGAAAGAGGGTGGACAGATGTTAATATGTTTATTTGAATCAGCTGAATAACTGTATATAAAATAATTCAATCAAAATGAATATGCATTTGTTACTTACAAATATAATTTTCTTGTTAATAAATATTTTTAAAATTAAACATTATACTTTATGCTCTGTGAATTATTGAATGCGTTTTAATGAAACGTCCAGAGAATCTTTAGGTTTTAATGAAACGTCCAGAGAATCTTTAGGTTTTAATGAAATTGTATACCTTCTATTTTAGGTTCTGTTTCAAAAAAAGGGACGAAAGATACCAGAGGGACAGTCAAACTCATAGATCGAAAACAAACTGACAACGCCATGGCCAAAAAGAAAAAGACAAACAGACAAATAATAGTACAGATGACACAACATAGAAAACAAAAGACTAAGCAACACGGACCCCACCAAAAACTGGGGGTGATCTCAGGTGCTCCGGAAGGGTAAGCAGATCCTGCTCCACATGTGGCACCCGTCAAATGTTTGTATGGTTCCGTGCAGTCTCTCGATCCATCTTGTTATCTTAGTTTGACTGTTTTTCTTTTTTTTATCTTATTGAATGTTAATTTACAATTCGTGTAAGGTTCTTTCAAAAGTGGTAATTGTTTTTTGATTTATGGCAGTAGTCTCTACATTATTTCTCTTAACACTAAAATATATCTTTTTATAGGTAATGATTACAAATATTAATTTTCAATGCCATGACGTCAAACAGAACCTCCAATAAAAAATAAGGAGAGTCAATAGGGGGGTCAAGAGAAACATATCACAGACAAAAAAATATTTACTTACGACCACAGTAAATATGACAATTGCAGTTTCACCATTAAATTTCAGTCCATGTGGTGTAATTGTTGAGCCTTACGTCTTTTCATTTGGAGCAAAATCAAACCACTTCTTTTAAAACAGTTCATCACAATTGTTTTTATCATCTCAAAATGGTATTCTCCCAATGTATTAATTTATCTTTGTCTTTGCAAATGATGGATTTGAGCTTCCTTTTATGTTACGGTCAATATAAAGCTGTGTAGTCAGAACTTTTTCTCAGTGAGTTTTAAGAGTCCTCAGTTCGATTCTTTTTGCTTTTCGTTTGTTTGTGTGTTTTGTTGTAGTGCATCTTGTCGATCTGATGAATTAAGTTCTTTTCAACAGATTTGAAGTTTGTTCTTCTGTTGTGAATGAAATTGACGTTTTTTTAAGTTCGTGCATTCGAACCACTTTCTTGATTTGTCAGCACCAAAACGGTCAAACAACAAGAATGTGTCCATAGTTCACGGATGCCCCACTCGCACTATCATTGTCTATGTTCAGTGGACCGTCAAATTGGGGTCAAAACACTAATTGTGCATTAAAATTAGAAATATCATATCATAGGGAACATGTGTACTAAGTTTCAAGTTGATTGGACTTCAACTTCATCAAGAACTACCTTGAATAAAAACTTTAACCGGAAGCGGGACAGACGAACGGACGGACGAACGAACAGACGGACAAATGGACGAACGAACGGACACACAGACCGAAAAACACAATGCCTCTAGGTGGGGCATAAAACATATGAAAGCCAACGGTGGATAAATATTTGAATATTTGAGGAGCTATATGAGCAACAGGCTGATGTGCTGTTGAACCTTTGTCCCAGGTTAGAAGAAGGGTTAGGCGCATCACACGTATGTTCAATCCCCCACATTCAGTGCTTGTCCTAAGTGATGAGCTTGTAATCAGTTGTTAGTTGCTGTCTATTATACATGTATTTTGTTGATAGTTTTAGCAGAAATCAGGCCATTAGTTTTCTTTATTGAACAGCTTCATATTTTCTTATGAAAGGGCGTTTTATAGCTTATCAATCAGTATGCGTTTTGCTCACAGTCGAAGGTCGTACGGTGACCTATAAGTTTTTACATGCACGTCCTGTGTTCTCTATTGGATAGTTGACGAATTGGCTATTATAACATATTTCGTTTTTTCTTATTATCTTATCAATTATGTCTCAAAATTAAACTTTTGAAAGGACGTTACTTCAAAATAACAATCCTTTCCTTTAGTAAATCATAATAATAAGTGAGCTTCAATAATCACCTTGTTCCTTTTGAATGACGATAAAAAGCATTCATTAGAGGAATATACGTAAATGTTTTAAATTATGAAAATATATTATATAAAAAAATATATATGAAGACCGTACACAGTAGTGAAATTTCCGTTGAATGAGTATGATTCAGAAATGTATCCGTAGTTTACAAAATAAGTTCTATCCGATTTAATGTGCAAATATGAATACAATTTCACTGAATTCCAGAGACGAAGAAAATAATTTAATCAACATCGTAATTTACATTCGTGATTTTCTAGAAAGACGAATAGCGGAAGGTATCAAAAGATGGACGAAAGATACCAGAGGGACAGTCAAACTCATAGTTCGAAAACAAATTGACAACGCCATGGCTAAAAATAAAAAGACAAACAAACAACTAATAGTACAGATGACACAACATAGAAAACTAAAGACTAAGCAACACGAACCCCACCAAAAACTGGGGGTGATCTCAGGTGCTCCGGAAGGGTTGGCAGATCCTGCTCCACATGTGGCATCCGTCGTGTTGCTTATGTTATTAAAAATCCGGTAAAATAGTCTTATTCGGTAGGTCACATTCGTGAAAAGGGAAGGGTATTGCAGTTACAACATAAGGAACATATCCGATATCATCTGTGAAACGGTTATTCCATAACGGTTAACCAACTCGCGATGGCGTCCGTAAAATTTACGAAGGGATGATTTCAACTTCACCATTTTGAACTCTTGGTTTAATAGCTGCCTTGTGAGCAGCAATCCTCTATTAAGGAAATCATGATAAGAAATACAAGCCCTGGAATATCGTATCAATTGTGAGATATATACTCCGTATGCAGGCGCTGCTGGAATGTTGCTACATAGAAATGGAAAGTTCACAAATGGGAAGCTGAAATCATCTCTTTTGTCGTAAAGTTTTGTTTTCAACCGACCCTCATTGTCAATTTCTAGATGTAAGTCACGATATGAGGCAGACTTAACTGTATCTGTAGTATCCTTTATCTCTAGTTCGAAGGGATAGATTCGTTCAAGATAGTCACCAAATTTTGTATTATTTAGTGAGAGAACATCGTCTATATAGTGGAATATCAAAGGGATATACAAACTTAAAAATCAAAGACAAAGTAAAAACATAATGACAGAAAAAAATTAGAAAATGCCACAACATAGAAAACTAATGGATAAGCAGCTTTACCACGAACCTCACAAAACACCGGGATATTATCAGGTGCTATGGAATGGTTTTCAAATCCTGCTCCACATGTGACATCTTTTGTGTTGTCCATGTAAGTACATATTCGGTGATAAGTTTCATGAATAGGGGAAATTACCCTATAGCAAAATACTGCGAACACGTGAAACATTCAATAGAAACAAATAAATCAAACTAATGATACATTGCAAACATAATAATTCTTAATTCATGAAATATAAACCGCTTTGATATTATAATGCTTTAAATGAATTGACCTTAAGGTCAACATTTTATCGAAATCGGTATAAAATAATGCATTTGAAGATGTCAGTCACACTCAACTCGATGGAATTTTGCAGGATTCAGTACCATATGCCATTTTTTTTTAATATTGGTGTCCATGGATTTTTATTTTGGGTCAGTGTTCTGTGGAATAAAGGTGAAATTTTGGTAACAGTAGTTTAATTACCGATGTTCAAATCAATCCATTGAGAGGATACACATTAAGGTAACAGACAAAAACTACGGAATCGTATGACAAAAATATTTAAACATTAGTAGAAACTAGCTAAAACAGAATTTTTACTGTCTCAAAAGTAAAACTGTTCTCCTGAGTATCACCGTAACGTCGAGTCAATAAGTGGCAATAGTGGTTTACCGATGAGTAGATCTCGTATATTAGTTCTGAATATACAATCGAAGTGAAAACAACTGAGGAAAATCCCATAACCTCCAAAAGGACAGAGACGGTACGAGTCAACACTTAGTCAAAATGCCAGAATCAGGAATAGGATATAATTAGAAGAATACAGATTAGACGATATTTCTGGTATCCAAATACCGTGAAAGCATCTTGCGAGTGAGTTCAGACACACACATATCATATAAGTCAACCTATTCGTGACGATGAGCGTAAAATGTATTCTTATGTAGGGTCAATTTTGGTCGTTCTTCTTCATAAATCTTTTGAGGCAGTTATTTAGAAAGGGGCATACACATTATAGCCAAACTAAAGAAAATAGGTTGTCGATCAACAAGTTCATTTTTTTGATGATACCATTTTCGGTGGTTTTGTAGTAAAAAACTTGGGAATGTGCATCTACAATTCCCATTTTTTCTAGAAAAGGCTCGGTTCAATGAAACGATGTAGTCCGTCTTCCCATTAACCATGGGAAATAGTAGTGTAAAATATTTCTTTTCTCTCTAATAATCGACGAAAAGTTTTTTGTTTAAATGAGTCCTTTTCGAGAAGCCACCAACAACTAAAATGCTCACAGAGATCTGAAATCTTGTGTTGCACAGAGGTTTTCTAACGGACACTGAAGACATAACAATACATTATTCTGTTTTGTTGTGTTCTTGAAATTTGTTTTAATTGGACAACAATTCATTTTATAGGCTTACTCTGGTGATTCGCGAAATCTGTAAAGCAAAAATCACCAAAGTCAAAAGATAGCGCTTGTGGTGGAAAGTTTGACCGAAAATGATATCGATTATATTCAATAAATCTGTTCATTAAATGAAAGCAATTGTCGGAATGAAGGCAAAATGCTCTTGGACTCTATTTAAAAATACATACATCGCTACAATGTCAAATAACTGCATGATAAAGTGTGTACATGGACCATGATAAGGTTTGAAAAGAGAAATCACATACTTTCCAACATTTTAAATATACAAACCTTGTACAGCGTGTATTGCAACTACAATAAATAAAAGTTTAATTCTTACGGGCACACAATAATATTATTGTATTCATTTATAATCAACATCAGCAATTTGTTAGTTAAGATCAACAATCAAACATTAAGATAAAATGATTATAGTCGCATTATAAAATTCAAGGAAGAAG